TGCGACTGCGACTGCGACTGCGACTGCGACTGCGACTGCACTGTTGACCTCTCTCTGGTGTGCGTGCCGTGCAAGCCGCAATCAAGCACCAAGGCATGCTTCTGCAGCCGGCCGACCACAGCTCTTAGCGCCTGACGAACGTGCGCTGCCTGCGCACACACAAAGACGCACCAAGTCAGCAAAAGAAGAGAAAGTCGCTCCCCCCCAACAAGCACACGGTGCGGTACAAGCACAACACCATCAACTCCAGGCCGTGCTACTTGCTGGGTGCGGCGCTTACGTTCCATTTCTGGGCTTCCGATTGTGAGTTTTTGTCCTGAAGATCTTTCATGCAGTGGAACTCTCACGTTTGCCGATGCAGGCTGCACAAGCACTCAACTCTCCAGACTAGGCACACGTGTTCATGTAGCCTCACAGGTAAATCTGATGAGCCACTCGAAGCCTTGATTGTCAACACTAAGCAAGCACCTCCGCTCGCACAATGAATATCGTGCGGAGACCCTGGCTGACACGCAGTCGTGAAAGCATTGTCAAGGGAGCAGATTACTATTGCAAAGGATTGTGCAGTGCTGAAAGGATGAGCGCAAGAAACCCAACACAACTCATTCAAGAAGGGGGAACCACCAAAGCCGGACATTCGCAACGGATCGTCGCTGTGCTCTTCTCCGCATCTTAGCCCAACGACCCGAGTCCGACACGTAAGCTACATCTCAGAAACCTCCTAGACATCCCTCGTCGCCGCCGAATGAGCAGTCTCCAGAGAATGCCGATCCGTTGGACACGCGTCCTCCAGACTTTTTGGTCTTGGTGCCAGGCCCACCGCCTGCGCCAGATGATTTGCGTCTTGCGCCGCCAGATGGTTTCCCATCCCCACTTTCCCGTGACGTGCTTCGCTCCTTCTTGGTGGGCGATATCCTCTCATCGAGAGGCGCGTCTGCTTGAGCTTCCAAGGCAGGTGATGCGGGAGCAGAGTCGATCGGAGAAATGCTTAATAATGGCAAGATGACGGGAGACGTCTTTGCTGAAGCCGACGAGCTCGCTTCGGTGGACAGACGGCTTGCGGCTCTCCTCGACCTGATCGATGCCGAGTGTAGTCCGAGATGCATCCTGTCTGCATCTAACACCGCAGAGTTGGGAGCGTCGCCGACAGCGGGTAGCACGGGGCGATCAGCACCACCGCTCGGACTGGCTGCTGGGGACGGGCTGCTGGACCGCTTTCCTGCTCGTCGCATCTGTCGCTGCTGCGGCGTCATCGACGGGTCTTGACGGTGGGATTGCTGTGCATGCGCAGCCAGAGCCTTTGTTACGTCGACTGGGCAAAGATCTGGACTCGTACAGCTGCTGCTACCCCATCCGCAGCCTGTCGGGCTGTCAAGATGAGCGCCTTCCATCTCATCGCTGCTGATCCCGCTCCAAGGATCAACACTCGAGCACCTAGAGGACATGGGGGACGAGTCCATCGTAAAGCATCCGTGGCTGCCGCTGAGACTGCTAGACGACGACATGGTGCTACCTTCGCTCACATCCGTCGGCGATGCCAAACCGAGCGCGTTGAGCGAGGCTGCAAATGACGCGGTGGAGGCAAGTACGGCGGGCGGCTGAGGATGGCGTGTCTCCATAGCACTTGGAGAGAGCGATGACTTTCGCACTGTGGAAGACGAACGCGGAGGTGCTGCTGAAGGTGTTTCGACCACCTCTCTTCTCTCAGCAGAGGGGCTCGCTAGTGGACTTGTCCGTGGACTAGCCTCACGCGGATGTCCACTCTGCTGCGACGGAGCACGGGAATCATTGCCTGAAGGGCTGGTCGTGGTAGGCGTGCACTCCTCTCCGGAATGTTTAGCCTCGACGGCTGCCGTCATTGTCTGCGGCGTCTCGTCATCAGAACTTGACGCGTTGATGGCAGGAACGCTGAAATAAGATTCACAGGTCTCCCATCTGATGCGCACTGCTGGACTCTGCCTTGGTGTAGCATCGGGACTATTCTTCAACGCGGCGAGAACCTCCGAAAAGCGCACGGTTGGCGTTGCGGTCTCTTCACTGTCATCTGCGCTCGACTCTTCCGCGTCTTCTTCCTCTTCACCGTCAGCATTGTGTGACAAAAGGTCAGAGTTGCCTCCACCAGGCTGAGTTCTTGCCAGCCCACCAATGCCAGAATTGGACAGGCGCCCGAGAGAGTGCACACTGTGCGACGGCAGCTTGCAGACGTTGGGATCTGATAGTGCCTCCGGCATTCGAGATGCCGCAGCATTATCAGCGCCGAGAGCGCTGCCAATGACGCATCCGTTTTTGAGACCGCTCCATCGGGTCTTGCCCGCGCTGCGCTGGGCCATTGGAATGCCTTCTCCTTCTTCGTTGGCGCCCTCTTCTTCGTCTCCATCTCCAACCGTTGAGGTCCTATGAAGGCTGAGATCATTTGCACTACCACCTTGAGTACACTTGATAGGTCGACGGTCGTAGTGCTTTCCGCTGTGCGTTAGCCCACGTTCCGGGGGCGAGTCGCAGAATCGCACGGTCCTGGCAGGGGGAGCCGCACAGAACGACCGAGGTGGGGCGAACGAACAGAGTGGGGTGGTGACCGCAGGAAGACTCGGCAACACTAAATCACCGGCGCGAGATCTCTGGACGCCACCCATTGACTTGCCAGAATCCTCGCCGTCGTCTGTTTCAGCAACGGTGCGAGGCTGCTGGCCGGCGCCGCTGATGCTTTTGATGCTGTAAATGCTGGGCTGAGGGGCCGACGTGTTGCGCTTAAGGCATGGTGCGCGCGCAGGACATGCTCGGAGAGAACTAGGCACCTGTCGAGGCGTGGGCAGAGGGGAGGCAGTCTCCGAATCCGTAGAGACTGTGCTGGATGTACTGAGTGACCGCCGCCGTGTGGTGATGAGCGTTTGTATGCGGAGATTGTCCACCTCATCACATGGGAATGCGATTGTATCGAGCGACGTCATGGTGTCGACTGCGATAGATTGCGTGTGTCGATGGTGTGTTGTGTGCTTGCGAAAGTGGATGCTGCACGTTGCGCGTGGACCGGCCAACGCGTTGGTATGCTCGTCACAGCGGCAGGGCTGCACGGAGAGGATTGGGACTATGCAAGGAAGCTGCAAACGAGATGTGAACGTCTTAGGAGAGCCGAGAATGCGACGTTGTCAGAGGTATCGCCGCGCAACCTGTGTCCGAAGTGGAGCGGTGACCTGGGTGGCAAAGCGGTCTCGAGGAGCGCAACGCCAAGTAGTCAGAGGTGCGGATGTGAGCAAGGCAATGCAAGGACCTTAAGTGCGAGGAGAGCCGCTGCAATGTGTGCGCCCAAAAGCGCTGAGGCCTGGTAGGCCAAGCACTCAGAGGTTACTACAATCCAGCATGGTGAAAGGCCTGGAAGATGTTGCAGCTCGACGAGGGGAAGAGCCTCGAGTGCGGCTACCAACGAGCGCCGTGATCGCAGCAGTCCTGAGCGAGTCGGTGTACCAGAGGATGCACCAGCAAAAAGGTTGGGCAGAGCCGTGCTTGGCTCAACGATGACCCGTTGCTGCTGTGGGTGAGATGGATGGTCTGCTCGTCGAGTACGGGCGCCCGCTCGAAAGCGTGGCAACCCTGCGACGAAAGCGCAGTTCTGTGATGAGGAAACGCTTCAGTAGCTCGATGTGCTTTCGAGAAGTAGCCGAGTTGCGATGGTGTGATGTGGTAAAGGCGATGAGGCGAGGGTACAGGTGAGATTTGGCGTTGGCATGGCGCGCCCCCTTTGAAAAAGCGTTCTGCTGCTGTTGTGCACCGCAGAAACAGGCGCGGGCAGCCGACACACGCGACCCAACCCAGCAGCACCGGTCGCCGTTGGTGCTGCGTGCATGAGCGCGTGGGGCGCGGGCGGTGCTGTGCGCGTGGGGTGCGCGTGCCCGCGTGTTTGCGTGAAGAGGTGGCGCAGCAAACCCATCCGCGGTCAATTCAAAGACGAGCGAAAGTCGTCGTGAGAGTGATTTTCCGCCTGCAAGCGAGTGTGAGACGCCCATCGTGCTTGCTCAATTGAGTCTGAGTGGTGATACAGATTTAGACCTCATGATCAGAACATAGTGATTGAGAAATTTCGTGATGCTCCGTAGCCGCGTCTGCGATCGATAGAGCGCAGAATCACGACCAGATCTTGAGGAGCTCGGTCGAGGTCATGCAAATTCACGATTCACACTCTGATTGGTATTTGATCAACATTCAGATTTGTCTTGACTTGGACACCAAGCGACTCATGATCATTCAAATTCTGACTCGACATCGATATTGCGCAACTCAAGATTGGCCAACAGCGTCTGACTTTGCTTGTTCTTCCTAAACAAAGTTGGACATTCAAGATTCATCTAGGACTCTTGACGTGATTGCTGATCTTGATCTTGGGTTGACATTTCGAAGTGACCTCAGGTGCCCGGCCCCCCGGCGCGCGCGCGCGGCCCTTCACGAGGCAGACAGGGTCTTGAAGCGCATCAGCCGGCGGCCGAGGAGTCTGAACAAAGCTCAATCAGCATCCAAGCGCGAATCTACGCGGGCTCGTCTTCTCTGGTAGGCGGTGCCCGAGCGGTGCGCATATAGAGAGAGGAGACCTACAGCGAGAGAATAAGTCCAGGCCATATCTTGTTTCTGTTGCCTTTCCTTGATTTGCATTCACGATTCAGATTCGCACTCGTGACTCACATTAAAAATCCAAAATTCAGGACTTGTATCGTGCTTTGAGTCTTTATAATGTAGGCCCCCTTTCTTCATTTCGGTTGACTTCTACATCTTCATCCAATCAAAAATGCATTAGACGCAGCAGGACTCAAGACTCAAAACTGTTACAATGAGACCTGCGGTCAACTTTCGCTCTCGCTGAAACAAATTGCAGGCACGTGTGACGACCGCTGAGACGTAGCGCATGTCTCTCCTGCGTATGCTGCATGTGCGACCGCTTCAATGGAATCATTAAGATGGAGTCGATTCGATTTTAGATCATTCAGGATTTAAAACGTTGCAACGGCATACCGTCGTTGGTCGTTCGGGCTGGAGATCAGCGGCGTTCCGGAGTGCTGCAACGGCAATGTGAAGCAGCGCTATTATAGGGCGAGTCGAGAGGGAGGCCGCAACCACGGCAAGTCATGGGGAGGGCCCTCAGAGCTCAGAGCAGTCAATCTGAATCAGAAATGTCTGATTCACGATTTCGATACCGGTACGCATGCAGCGGTGCTGGGCCTGGCCCCCTTTCGTGATCAGCACTCAGACACTCAGCTCCGCCAAGCTCCCGTCTGAGTCGGCGCGGAGTTTGATGATGCCCACTTCGAGCCTTTCGTGTTAAATTTGATGAAGCCCATCAGCAGGATGGGTCAAGGGCAAGTCACAGTGCGTGCGTTGCGCGGGAAGGGGGCCAGCATGCTTCCAATTCCGCGTGGAGTGCGTCGGTTTCATGCACCGAGAAGATTCCTGTTGACCCAAGGTCATCACGTGATGCATCGTTCACTCAGACTCAAGGCTCTTCACTCAAAACTTTGATGCGTGACCGAGATTTGACTGTAGACTTTTTAACTTATCACAACTCAATCATTGAATCATGATCACATTTTGACCGTAGCGGTTCGACTGCCCAGGTGAAGAAGTGACGTGCAAATCACAATCTCAAAAGCTCATCAGACTTGAAAAGCGGTGGGGAACTCAGGAATGCACCGCTTCTTGGCCCACGCAGGACTTCTTGGACTTCGCGCCAACGAATCGTGCAAGCAGTGTGATGAGTTTGCCTTTTGAAAAGGGTGGCGTGCTATCCCGTGGCGCAGGGCCAAGACAGGAAGTGCACATCCTGCCCAAGTTCTATCTACAGAGCGGTGATGGTTTTGTGCAAAAAGAAGAGCGTGGGAATGAGTGACACAGATTACAAGATGGCGGGGATAGTGAGACGGAGGCGATCTCGTAGAAAGTCTCGGCTTGGAGACAGCACGAGCGAGCATCAATCGGCAGAAAGAAGGGTCACAATCTACCACTGCTTTACTCCTTCTTCTCTCCCTCGCCCTCCTTTGGTTGTTGTGCCTGACCAGACGCCTCGCCATCCTGCGCGCGCTTCTCGTAAACCTTCTTGAAGAGACCAAGACTGGCTTGTTGAACATTGTCGATGGCCTTGCGGAGCTCCTCTGCATCGACAGCAGAGTTGTCTGCTTGTGCCTTGGCCGCAAGCTCTTCGACCTCCTTGATCAGCTGGTTCACCTTGTCCGCCTCTGCCTTTTCGATTTGGTCGCCAAACTCTGCCATCGCCTTGGCAGTCTCGCTGCTGACGCTCTGCGCTCTGTTGGCCTCCTCGATCAAAGACTTTCGCGCCTTGTCCGCTTCTGCGTTCTGCTCTGCGTCGGCCATCATGCGCTCGATCTCGTCGTCACTGAGACCAGAGCCGGCGGCAATGGTGACGTGTTGCTCCTTGCCAGCAACCTTGTCGCGAGCAGACACGTTCACAATACCGTCTGCGTCAATGTCGAAGGTGACCTCGACCTGAGGCACACCCTTGGGTGCAGGAGGGATACCGGAAAGCTGGAAGTTTCCAAGGAGCTTGTTGTCCCGGACGAGCTCACGCTCTCCCTGATACACCTGGATGTCGACGGCTGTCTGACCATCAGCGGCTGTGGAGAAGACTTGACTCTTCTTGGTGGGGATGGTAGTGTTGCGGTTGATGAGACGGGTAAAGACGCCTCCCAGGGTGTTGATACCGAGAGACAAGGGTGTGACATCAAGCAGCAAGATGTCGGTCACCTGTCCGCTCAAAACACCACCCTGAATGGAAGCACCGATCGCAACAGCTTCATCAGGGTTGACGCCGCGAGATGGATCACGCTTGAAGATGCTCTTCACGGTCTCGAGAACCTTGGGCATGCGGCTCATACCACCGACCATGATGACGTCCTGGACATCCTGAGGCTTGATGCCGGCATCCTGAATAGCTTTCTTGCAAGGCTCAACAGTCCTGTCGATGAGCTTGCCAACAAGACCCTCGAGCTGCGCTCTGCTCATTTTGCTGTTGATGTGCTTGGGTCCAGAAGCGTCCGCAGTGATGTATGGCAAGGAAATGTCTGTCTGCGACGCGCTGGACAGCTCGATCTTTGCCTTCTCCGCTGCCTCACGAATTCGCTGGATGGCCATGCGGTCCTTGCTGAGATCGATACCAGACTCTTTCTTGAATTCTTGCACGAGGTGTTCGACGAGGACAATGTCGAAGTCTTCACCACCCAAATGCGTGTCACCGTTGGTGCTCTTCACCTCGAAAACACCTTTTTGCATCTCCAGAATCGAAACATCGAATGTGCCACCTCCCAAATCGAAGACAGCGATCACGCTAGCGGCAGTCTTGTCGAGACCGTATGCGAGTGCTGCCGCTGTGGGCTCGTTGATGACACGGAGGACGTCAAGGCCTGCAATGGCACCTGCATCTTTGGTGGACTGCCTTTGTGCGTCGTTGAAGTAAGCGGGGACAGTGATGACTGGACGGAAATAGGAAGGTGAGATGAGCAAAGCCTTCGAGTGCATCTCTGGCCTTGCGCCTAGCAGCTCGCGCTCTGGCTTCATTTCACTCACCAGCGTGACCTGCCTGCTTGCCAAGGTAGGCAGAGGCAGTCTCTTTCATCTTGCCAACTACGAAAGCACCGATTTGAGCAGGGGAGTACTTTTGGCCTCGAACTTCCAGCCAGGCATCGCCGTTTGAGTGGGGCACAATCTTAAATGGCACGTTGTCGATGTCCTTTTGGACTTCCTTGTCTTGGAATTTACGACCAATCAATCGCTTGGTGGCGAATAGCGTAGCCTCTGGGTTTACAACAGCCTGACGCTTAGCAGGGACACCAACCAATCGCTCGCCTTCCTTGGTGAAGGCGACTACTGAAGGGGTTGTCCTACCACCTTCTGCGTTCTCGATGACTCGAGCTGTCTGACCCTCCATCACCGAAACGCAAGAGTTGGTTGTACCCAAGTCAATACCAATGACGGGGCCAGTGACCTCTGGTAAAGGGAGCAACGAGCGAGAAAGCTTGGTCAATGAGGTTGCGGCGGGACTTGAATCGTCGTGCCCAGCTACATGCACTACTCACTGCCCGATTGCAGTCTTGAACCGAGCGGAGCAAGACGCTGCAAGAATGGTAGGGAGCGTACCAGTCAGCGAGAGCGTGCTGTGAGGGTTGCTGACAGGTCTGCCATCGCACTCACTGCAGCACTGGGAGAAGCAGTAGCTCTCATCATAGCGGGGGACATGGCTGACCTCGCCGCTGGGGTGGCGGCGGCCCTGAGGCCACGAGAAAAGCTGTACATGCTGAGCTGTGGACGGGTATGAGGAGGCTGGTAGCGTATGGAAGTTCCAGGGATTTTCGTTGTGGTAGTAGAGCACTTTGTTGTGGACGAGTGCGTGCAACACAAGGTGAAGGGAGGGGCTTGTGGGATTTGGATGCCTGCTTAGATGAGACTTAGCCCCAGCGACGATGCTGGCACCCGAGACTTTTGAAGTTTTTGACTTTTTTGCTGCCACCGCCGCTCTCTCGCACACCGCACCGCCTTCCAAATCCTCGCAGGGAGCCCTTTCGCGCGCTCGCCGCTTCCCCAGCCAAGCATGCAGAAGCGCTTGGAAGAAATTGCACCCGCGCTGGTCTGCATCTGCATCAGCGCGTGGTGGAGGGCGCGTACGCGCGTGCAGCGCACCGCACGCACAAGCTGCCGCCGCTCGCGCGAGACCTTTCTGGAAGCCCGGAGCTGCTATGTACTCACGACTGAAGACTGTATATGCACTCGCGACTGACTCACTTATACAGTCACGTGAGTCAATCACGAGTCAAAGGTTTGAGTTTTGAGTCTTGAGTCTGAGTCAAGATTAGCTTAGCTGACCGCACCCGCGAGTCGCGTGACTAGGCACGCTCACGGTCACTGCTGTAGTCAAGAGTGAAGCCTATGAGTCCGAGTATACCGACCGCTTGCGCCGCCCCACGGGTACATCCTGGTGCCTTCGTCCACGTGGCCGGCTCCACCCGGCTTATCAATCAGCAGCATGTCGAGCGAGGAGCAGCCTCCACCTAAAGTTTGCTAGACCACTCACTTCCTATACCGGTACGCTGAGCGAGCATCAGCAAGTATGGAAGCTGCAAATCAGGAAATCAGAACCATTCGCAGCAAGCAACAACACTCAGTACCAGCTTTCCCTCCTCTGGCGCTTCTCGAGTCCCGAGTGCAGGAGCCACGGCGTATCCTTGATGCTCACTTCTCCCATGATAAACCAGCAAATTTCGCACCTGCGACTCTTCTGCACGCCTTGTTATTCATAGCGACGCTCCTGGCCGTGAAGATATAGAGCGTCGACATTTGATCGACCATTGCGAGAAGCGGGCCGTTGTCCACAAGCACAAGATGGGTGTGAGGAACCTGAGTAGCTTTGCCCAGGAGAATGCGAGGTTGCTGTGCGAAACGCTGAGCTTCTCCTGCCAAGTGAGCACTTCAGCTCCTCTCCAGCCTTCAGCCCAGTCATCACCAGCGTTCTTGACTGTCGAAGAGGCGGCTCAAACATCTCCACGCTATGGAAGAGCTTTGGTAGTGGATGCGCTGGCCCACATGTTTGCGAAGATCGGGCGAGGAGACTATGACGTTGCCCGTGGAGGAGACTACGCGCTCTTTGTGGCTAGCATACAAGCGGATGTCAATGCTTGGCGGTGAGTCGTCTTTCAAGCGCACAGCACACATCACGCTCTCCGCAGCTTCGTCGATCTGACACTTGTCTTCGGCGCGGCACCGACGCAGAGCTGCTGGTTTGCATCCCATCTTTGTGTTCGATGGTCCCAACCTTCCAGCCAAGTTGCCTAGGCAAGTGGACCGGCGACAACAGACAGCGAAGGAGGCGAATTTGTACATGCGTTCTCCTCCAGCCTCTCGCTCGATCTCCCCTCTCGCTCCTCCGCTGCTATCCTATGCCATGCTGGATGCGCTTCAGCACACCACGCCGCCGACCACCGTTGTGCTTGCAGAGACGGAAGCGGATGGCGTGGTTGCTGAGCTTGCCCACACGCTCAAAGGTCATGCCGTCAGCGAGGATTCCGACTACTTTGTGCTCTGCGCACGAGGCGACGGTACATCCTACGTGCCGCTGAGCTCCTTCGAATACGTTGTCGACCTGCCGACAGATACTGCGGTCACTGCCGAGGCGTCGTCAGAGCCAGCCGATGAGGCCGGCTTCGAAACAGTGCCCAGGCGTAGGCGGCGGGGACGTGGTCTCGCCCCAGCCCAGCCCTCCAGCTCTGACCCCACCACAGTGCTGCATGCCCCACCAACAGATCTTTCGATGCTCAGAGAAGTCAGATTCGGATCGTACTCGTCTGCGGCTTTGGCGCGCATATTGGATCTTCCAGTCGCACTGCTTCCGCTTTTTGCAGCGCTGGCGGGCAACGACTACCTCCCCGAATTACAGGCGCGAACACTTTTTGAACCTTTCAGGAGCAGCGAGCGCCTCAAAGAAGCAGCTGCAGTGCTTCGAAGAGCGTGGCTTGCCAGCCTAAACGGCAAGAAGGCTCGCGAAATGCGTACCACCGCGCAAACGACCAGATCAGGCCCTGGAAGGGGCAGCATTGCTCCAAGTGTTGCCGCAGACACGCTAAGCGAGTCGGGCTCCGTTGCGGCGTCCTCCGCAACAGCGACACCTCTGCAATCCACATTATTGCAGTCTCAGCAGCTCAAGCAGGTAGATCCGGTGCGGGCATTGGTGCAAGACTGCGTGGGTCTTGCTCTTCAGAGAGCAGAAGAGATACGGCCAAACAGATACGTGTCGACGGGCGAAAGGGAGGAGATGGTTGACGGCATCGTCGAGAGCGCAGCTACCTACAGCTTGCTGACGCACTCTCAAGGCGCGGACGGACTACCGAGCCCAGCTTCTCAATTCTTCTCCACTCCACCACCGCCAGGCACACGCACGAGAGGCGTCGAAGCATACCGCCAAGCGTACAAGCCGGGCAAGTTCCATGTGGACCTCGTGACGGGTCTGTGCCATCGAGTATACATTGGCAAGGTGTTCGCAGAAGATCCGGACCAGCAGAGTACCCAAAGATTTGCCGCACAAGAACTGAGAGAATGGGCTTGGGCGATCTTGTTCGACACCTGGGGCATGTGGTGGGCACGAGAGACCATCGAAGAGCCCGAAGAGCCTGAAGTCGATGCCGAAGATGACCACCAAGGACTAAATCACGTGGCGCAAGCGTTGCGTAGACCCTTCGGCGGTGCTTACAAAGATGGCGAGATGCCCGACGACGTCATCTCTGTTAACACAGAATCGAGCGAGGAACCGAGCGAATCTGGGGCACGCGACATGGGGGATGACGCGATGCTCGACCCTGACGCTTTGCCAAATAGACCCAACTCGGCGTTGGCCGACCGCGTTGAGGATGGCAACTATGATAGTCTTGGCAGACTTAAACCACCGCCGGTCCTTACGGAGTATGTGCGTCGTCTCGAGAGCGTCACGAAAGACATTCTCCCTATCTCGACGCTCGCGGAGCTTCTGGAAGCACGAGGAACATCACTCTGCGCATCGCTTCAGCCGCTCCGGGATGGCCACATTTACGATGCTGCGCCCCTCTTGCCAGCAGAAACCAAGCACGATCTCTACCTCTGCGCGCTCAAGGCGGACACGCCATCGATGCGTGCTTTGCCAAGTCAGATTCAGCCTCTTGCAGCTTGCCTGCGCTACATTGTTCACTCAGACGCGGACAGGTATGGGGAAAAGACAGCAAAGATGGCCTGGAGCATGGAGGAGCTACGCGCTGCTGTGCGTTCGAGTATCGCAGCTCTTGGAATTTGGAGAGAGCCCGAACGAGCGCTTCCGTCAAGGGTCAAGCGCCTTGCTGGTGAACTGGAAGCGCACGAGATTGCGCGGTCCAAGAATGCAGACGCTGGCTCACGCAGAGACGAAGCGCTGTTTCCCACAACGAGGGCGTTACACGCTTCGACGGCCTTGCAGCTTGTCCTCGAAGCGTCGTACCTCCTCTCGCAATCTCTGCTTGTGGATCAAGAAGCGCATCCTCCGCCCTTTGCCCTGCACGACGGGCCCACGTTCCACGCCATCATGTTGAAGCGTCCATCGGGCGAAGCTGGCCGCGACACGACGCTCGAGCAAGCTATACTCTCTGCAGTGCTCGAAGGTGGCTTGGAAAAGCACCTCGCGGTGGACTTGGACTTGGAGAGGAGAGCGAGGAAACAACAACGCAAGAAGGAACAGAGCATCGCTAGGTCTAAGCAGAACGCTCCGCCTGGAAAATCTTTCTCTAATAGACCTTCGCCCCCCAAGAATGCCTTTGCTTCGCTTCTAAACGAAACCCTCAGCTAGCCATTTCGCGCCCAGACTGCTTTGCTATTTCTTGATTCGCATACGCGCGAGTCTGCCTTGCTCGCTGTTGATGTTCTTGCTCGATGCATACCAGTGACGCGCTTCGTCATCAACGTGTACAATATTCCAGACAACGATATGGTAACGCCATGACCTGCTCCAAGTGTGCGCGTGCAGAACAAGCCTCTAGCGTTGAAACAATCCAATGTCTAGCGGTGTAAAAGACGCGGGTTGGTGAAACCGCGCCGTTGCCATTTTATGCTACAACTGGAGCCTTGCTGACATCGAAAGTTACATTCTCTTGCACCTTTCCGTCTACCGTCTTGATTGTGATGGTACCATCATTGTTGCCAAAGTATGCGGCTTTGGCGCAGTCTACGAACAAGCCGACCTCCTTGCAAAGCCAAGAGGCGTAATGTTGGTTAGTATTTGAGCAGCGTACAAGTCGCGAGGGTCTCAAAGATACGCACAATGACTCCCGTCAAAAGCTTGATCTGCTGCAGAAGCTCCTTGGGCTTAGCCATTTGCTCGGGCGGGAAGGGAGCATCGATGACGAAGTTGCTGAAGAATCGGGAAGGAAGATGCGTATCAGGCAACGGCATGGGGACGAGGGGCGCAGCGGAGACAGACTCACCCATTGTCAGTGACGACTGGACCAGCTTTCGCTTTGCCCATTCGAAGCACAGGCTTCCCTCCCAGCTTCGTGAGGTCCCTCATGACCTTGCTGTATGCGAACTCGGCAGCTTCTACGGGCACACCCTGAGTCCAAGAAGTTCCTAGCACGCCGTTGGAATTCTTCCTGTAATCCGCCACGACGATGAAATTCTTTGCGGCTTCTGCCAACACCTTTTCTCTAAGATGGCAAGCGCCTCCGCCCTTGATGGCGTTCAAAGCAGGATCCACCTCGTCCGCTCCGTCAATGGTCACATCGATGATGGGATGGCAATCTACATCTCCCAATTGGAGTCCGTTGGAAACGATCAGCTCTTTGCTTTGGAATCCTGTCGGCAAGAAGATTCTAGAAGCGTTGAGATCTTTGCCTTGTTGCACGATACGCTCCACTACGTACGGCACTGTGCTGCCGCTGCCAATGCCGATGATGCGATCGTTGCGGCCTACGTGAGCATCCACCGCTGCGTATGCGGCCGCTCGTTTGGCTGCCTCGACGCCGCTCAAGGATGCCAGTTGCAAAGGTGCCGAAGACATGCTGATCCGAGCTCGGGTGGAGGAAGCGGCAGACGTGATGCTTGAAGACCTGAATGAAGACGCAAATTGCTTGGATGCTGTTAGTAGCATGTGACGGTGCAAGTGGCGGAAATGCAAAGGTGCAAGAGCGGAGTCGTGGGTGTGGTGTGCTGTAGTTTGAAGGTGCACCGTGCAAGCATGGCCACAAAGCGAGGCGCACCCAACTCCACTCGAGATTTCCCACCCGCGATGGGCGGAGAGCATCAGCGAGCGCATGCCCGATCGAGTCTGAGTGCATGGCCCGAGCGGAGAGCATTGATCCTAGTCTTCGAGAATAATTTCAATCCAGGCATTTTCTTCATGCGCCAGTCGGCAGCCGAGCATTCACGTGACTTCTTGCGGAAATTTCAAAAGATCGCCAGATAGGCTGCATCCACGTGGCGTGCTGTTGGCCCCGCGGTACGTCCGCAGCCTGCAGGTATTTCGAGAAGAGCATGCCACTTGGGTCACAGTCCAGCCTGCCCATCCGGAGTCTGACTCTCATTGTGATCAGCTCCTTCACACCTCAAGACAACTAGCGCCGACATAACCACACAAGGTAAGCATCTCCCAGCCTTTTGTCACTCCAATCGATTCGATTCCACACCCTCAGCCATCCGACGCGAGCTGCCACAGACCGTGTCTCAGCCCCGTGCTGCGAGAGGTAGCATGTAGACAGGAATGCTCGTGGCTCGGTGGAGTGCCGAGCGCTAGCAAAGGGGCCGACCAACTCTTTGGGTCGCGAAGGAGATGCCAATGAGGACGGTGGCTCTCAGACCTACCGCACCCCCCAGAGGGTCTGTCACTGTTGGCACGGCGTCAGATGGTTGAGCATCGCGGCAGGTCATGAGGACGCGGCGAATTGGGCGCCAGCACAGAATGGAAATCCTGCTCTCAAGAGAAGCTGCTATTGCTTGGAAGACCATCGCGGTCACAGGGCCGCTCGTCAGGGGAGTGGCGGTCGGTCAGGGCGTCCACTGGGAGCATCTCGAATTGCAGGTGATGTCGTCAGCCAACCGCCCCTCCGTGTGCCATCGCACCTGTGGCGCGTCTCGAGATCAGCAGACTGCTTGGGACTTCTTCGGTCCTTATTTCGGAGATTGACACCCTACTCATTCACTGGCCGCACAGATCGCAAGCATGGCTTTCAAGCGTTACGTTCAGGTCGGAAGAGTGGTTCTCATCAACCAGGGTCCCAACGAGGGCAAATTGGCTGTCATCGTTGAGATCATCGACCACAACAGAGTGAGTGGCACAATGCTTGGAAGGCGGACAGGGGCGGACGCAAGAGGCGCATTGGCCGAATCCGTCAAGGAACTGCATGTTGCAGGTGAAGCTGGCTGGACAGTCAAAAGTATGCAGTGAAGTATGCAGTGAGACGATGCGTGGTCAGGAAGCACAGGAGCTAGGTGTGAAGAAAAGTGCACGGCTTTTCGAGCTGGCTGGCGCGGCACCTGTCAGCGTCAGCATCGAGAGTCACAAGCGCCTTTTGCCGGACAACGCTGCGTTTGGGAGTCGTGCAATCTTTCAAGCTCAGCCTGACTGTACTCACTCTTCTCAACCAGGCCCTCGTGGATGGCCCCTCCACCGGTGTGGACAGGCAACCCTTGGCATACCGTAGCATCTCTTTGACTCCCTACGTCATCAAGGCCGTCGCGCGAGGAATGGGCTCCGGTGCAATCGCCAAGAAGTGGCAAGCTTCGGGCGTCGATGAGAAATTCGCTCAAAGCGCTTGGGCAAAGAAGAGAGCCGCTCGTCAAGCCAAGGCCAACACCACGGACTTTGACAGATTCCAGATCATGCTTCTCAAGAAGCAGAGACGCTCTCTCGTTTCTCGTCAGGCTGCGTGAGTGCTTGCCCTGTCGCACTAGTTTCGGCTACTACTTTCGTTCTGAGTCTCAGCTAAGCACCCACCCTCTTTCTCCCTTGGCATTCCCGCTCAACAGAAAGATCAAGGCCTGAATAGTCCAAAACGCAAAGATGAACTCCACCGCACGCCCACCCACGCAAATTTCTCGGCACCACACATACGCTCTTCTCGCGCTTGGCGAGAATACATGTACTATTCCAGACGTGACGTTCCTCAATCGAGACAAGTCATGCTCTTCAATTCCGATGCGAAGTAGTCAGACAAGTCTAGGCGTCAAAGCGACGGATGGCGCAGGCGTAGGGGATCTTGTCAAGTGATCAAAGTTCTCGCATCGCGATATGTTGAGGTCCTCGCAAAACATCGACGAGCGTTCGAGCAGCACGTAGGGGAGAGCATGAGCGCCAAGGCCGATGTCAAAGTTTGAACCGAGTGCGCATGGTCATTGCATTGTATTCCATTCAAATTCAGGTTCATGATGAGGTCTCGAGACAAGAGCGGGGGCGAGACGCTCGTGATTGTGCACAAGGAGCATGTGATCGCAGACCGAGATCATCAGTGATTGAGACCGCATCAAGACAGACGCTCGATACGCAACGCTCAAGCACCCTTGGTGGCGTCAGTAGCGTTGTTGAAGATGAGGAGCTACGCATGAGAAAGCGAGTGGGTGGCTCAGCAAGTATATTTGAAAGCAGCGAGAGATGGGGTACTCACATTCTTTGTGCCGGCCATGTCGGTGAGGACATCCTTGGTGGCCAGCTTCTGAAGAGCAGCCTTCAGCTTCAAGGGCTCGATCACGCTTGGAATGGCGGGGACCGGAGCCAGAGCATGCACTGCCGTCTTCTCGGCACCGAACAGACGGCTAGCGACTTCGAGGATGAGACTGGGGAGGGGCAGAGCGTCGAACACGCGTGCGAGACCAGTGAAGCGCAGAACGGGAGACGCTTGCTCCACATCGAACAGGGTGGTGCTAGCCCCCTCGTAGAACTCCGGCGTGCCGTACACGCTCAAAAGATAGGCGAGCATACCGACAGTGTGAGGCGTAGCCATGGAGGTTCCAGAGATGGTCTGCCAATAAATGCGAGAGTGTTTGGGGAATAGGAAGATCAGCCAAGAGTGGGCAAGAAAATCGAGGGCCCTCTCTCTCACTCACGTTGACGGAGGTGTTGGAGCCGATCCAGGTGCTGAGGATGTTGAGACCAGGGGCAGCAATGTCGACGCAGGCGCCCTTGTTAGAAAAGTACGCGCGCTCGTCGCCAAAGGTGGATGCAGCGACAGTCACGGGGTCCTCGGCGCCGGCAGGGCTGGTGTTGCAGGCATCAGCATTCTCGTTTCCGGCTGCAACAGCAAAGTGGAGACCGCTGCGAACGGCTCCGTTGACGGCCTTGTCCAAACTTGGGCTCTTGCCACCTCCCAGACTCATGTTGGCAACGAATCCCTTGTGCTTCTTAGCAGCGGCAGTGTCAGGGTTGGCAGCGTGCTCCTTTGCAATCGCTGTGGCGTTGTTTGCAGCCCAAAGGACACCACCAGTAACATCAGACATGGAGCCGGAGCCGCCGGAGCCGAGAACCTTGACAGCCACGAGCTCGACCTTCTTCGCGACACCATACTTGCGAGAGCCGACCGTACCAGCACAGTGAGTACCGTGACCATTGCCATCTTCGTCGTTGTCGTTGGCAGGCATGGTCTTGCCCCAGCGTGCGCGACCTTCGAACTCAACGTGCTTGGTGTTGATACCAGTGTCAACGATGTATGCGGTGACACCTTCGCCTCCGTGGCTGTTGTAGACATATTGGCCAAAGATGGGGAAGCTGATGGCCTGACGGTGAGAGACCCGTACGAGACCCCAAGGAGAACCCTTTTCGACGGCCATTGGGCTGAGCTCGGGAGCACCGGCCATGGCGTAAGCCTGCTCGATGGTGGACTCGTATGGGACGTCCCAGACGTGGTCACCATTGTGAGGCATCTCTTGAGTGGAGACGATCGTGTCCTCCTCTACGTAAGCAACGTCAGGATGCGCGCGGATGTAAGCCAAGACATCGTCTGAGAACGCGCCAGCGTACCCAGAGAATTGACCATCCAGGTGGTAGACGTGTCTGACGCCTGGTGCGTGGCCTTCACTGCTCAGCGACGAGAAAGAAGCAGCTTGCGCCTGTTGTACAGAAGACGTGTGCATGTTCAGAGAGCTCTCACTCACGCCATCCTTCAAAACAACCATGTAGTTGTTCTTGATAGGCTGACGTGTAGGATGAGAAACGACTTGAGCAGGTTCAAAGCCAGTGTAGACCATCTGTCCCGGCACAAAGGCAGGAATAGAGGTGGTCGCAGCAGGAGCAGCCGCGGCGCCAATGGCTCCCGTAAGGGCGAGTGCGAGAGGTAGAACACGAACCATGATGTGCGGATGGAGTAGTACTCAAAGTCGGGAATGTACGGTAAAGTGAAGGTGGTAATGTCGGGAGAGTGGATTGCTGTGAATGTTGCGGACTATGTGCGGCAGCCTACAGGACCAGCGCGGGATTCGTCGAACAGATGGCCCTCGATGAAGGAGCTCGGGCTGGTTGTTGGTGAGAGAGGATGAAGAGGTGCTGAACGGGGTCCACTTGGTCGATCAGATCTGATGTGAACCGGCCGCACCCCTCCTCACTCCACTCACACTCTTGACTCAGGAGTAGCTAGCCGCGTACGCGTGTGCGATGATAAGAGGCAGACGAGCTGCGCTGACTGAGCTGTGCGACCTGCATGCATCATCATCATCATCATCATCATCATCATCGATGCAAGCTGCGTGGAGACCCGCCCGCCGTGGCAGCTGCTGGGGCGTGGTGTGGTGCACTGCGTGCCCCCATCAGCTCTGTCCGCCCCGGCCGTGCGCCCTGATGCTGTGCGATACCCACCGGATTGCGCTACCATGCAGCCAGCCAGCAAGTGAGTACACCCATCTGACCCGCCAAGACTCGCGACGTGCCAGGCGAGTCTTTCGCCGCGTCAGCTTGCATGCGGAAACATCAGCATGTGTGATCCGCGGGCGCGCCAGCATCTCGGCGCGCGCGACGTTAAGGAGCTTCCCTTCACACCTGTGCATGTATGCGCGGCCCCCAGCAGCAGCGCCACAAGGGTCGCATACACATCAAACTTATCACAGTCTCACGCCCTATAGCTGACACCATCCGCGCGAGCGTCACGGATACGTGCTTTCCAAGTGATGAGTCCCGCGTGCTCAAAGCTGCTGCTGTAAGGACCAAGCCTCGAGACTGGCAAAACGCTATTCCTTCATTCAAAAGGGTCTTGTGGCATTTTCACGCAAAGCTTTCTCGAGACAAGTGCAAGAGCGGATGCAATCTTGAATTCTGAATGTCTCCACGGCGATCAAGCAGCCGAGGGGGTCGTTGTAAAGCTCCGACTGATTCACGCGGAGAGTCTTGCGCAGCTTGATTCAATTGACCTCATGATGATATAGTTATTTCCATGCTGCTGCCAGAGGCGTCGTCAGCGCGGCTGGGATGGCCCTTGCGTTGGCATCGCCACGTGATGAAGCTGAAGTCGGCGGTTCTAGATCGATTTTGACTCTCGACTCAACTTCATCAATCATTTGAATCTTGAGTGACTCCAAGGCTGGTGGAGGAGACTTGCTGTCCCATATACGAGATTAGTAATTTGCATCCATCTCTTTCTAGCAGCGCAGGCAGTGGCACTTTGCAACACGCGCATAAAGGTTCACAACGACGATGATGATAGTTCAAGAGGTCCTTTGCAGCCTGGACCAGACGCGGGCACAGTCTCATCAGAATTCGACAAGGGCAAGAATGTTGAATCAAGTAGTCAACAAGTGAGGCTTCTCATTCCGTGACATTCTGAGCCCATTTTTGGTATACAGCAGACGGAATACACGCGTCCGTGACGCAACACAAGGGGAATTGGTGCAGCGAGGATGAGGCTTTAATGAGCGTGATGCTGATGACGGCGAAGGGGTTGCTCGATAAAAAGGGGCGGCAGGCAAAAGATGTCCTTCTAATACAAGCGGCCGAAGTTGATATGAACTGAAAGAGTGTGATTGGTGGATGGGCGATGCTCGAGCTGATTCACGGCGCTCGGTGAATCAGCTCGCCAAGTGCATGTCTCGCCGGCGGCGAGGCAGTAGCGTGGAGAGGCGAGCTCCTATCACCTAAGCATCTCGCGGAAGACTAACTCGGAGATCTGAGCTCATGATAACTACGACATCAGCGAGGCGATCGGTGTGACTCGCTTGATGGTTTCGACAGGTAGACGGTACCGAGCTCTGAATTGCCCGTCCCAGGTCGGCTCTGCGTCTGGTTTCTACCTCTCTGCACCCCCATGTTGCCGTACTGCGGTGATGTACCAAGAGCAGCATGGTTGGACATGTTGGAACCGCTCGAGTCTGGCCGCTGCACGTTTGTCCTGTAAGCCATGGATTGGAATTGCTGCGGCTCGCGGTCATAGGAGCCGCTCCACGCAGTTCCATCGTAATGTGACGAGCCTAGTGCTGGACTGGTTGCTGGGGTGTAGATTGATGGCGGCAGGACTTGCTGAAAAGGGCTTGACAATCCACGTTGAGTCCCACTGGTATCGGCCGAGAATGTAGTTCCCAGCGGTGGTATGCGATCATGCCATGCAAAGCCCGAGTGCGCCGAAGGAGTGCTGGAGAGGAAGTGTCGAGCCATATTGTTATCGGGCGAGCCCAAGGAAGGTCCCGCTCTTGCGATCGGCCTGTCGGACCACGATGACGGCTCTCGGACGCTCGGACCACCTGCAACGTTGTTTCCGTATGCTTGGGGAGTAGGTGACCACGCACCTTGACGCGAAGGCAGGGTGCTGCTGCCTGACTGCGTTGGAAGCAATCCCTGAGCGCTTTCGCCGAGCGCGAACTCACTTGCGGGTTGCAGGCGACCGTAAGCTTCAAACCTTGGGTGGGTTTGAGAAGCCGACGCGAATTCCGAGAGATTCCACATCGACTGCGACGAATGCAATCGCGGTCCAATCCTCTGTCGCCGTTCTGAGTCCGCTCGATGTCGTCCCATCTGAGGACTCTGGACTGGGCTGATGTGAGGACCGCCAGCATAGCCAGAGTGTGGAAGCAAAGGTGGAGATCCGGATCCAGCCATCGGATGCGCTGTAGCTCCAGGGTAAGGCTCAAATCTGCCGCTGCCCAATCGAGATCTCGTCAAAGCGTCTGAGGCGCGGCGCGGCATGCCGGGATTGAAAGGCCGATTGTCACTGACACCTGCTGGCAGTGAGATTTCTGGAGATGCTGGATTCGAACTGGTCCAGGCGTCCCAGCCGCTAGCGCTCATGTTGCCGGCTGTCCGCAACGGCGGCACAGTGCGTCCATATCCTGGCGCGTGGCGAGGACCGAGACCAAAAGTGTTGGCTTCATGGCTTTCACGGCGGCTTCGACTGTCGCTGCCCGAGGTACCCTCTCCACTCGAACCGAGGTCGAGACTGTATGCACCCTCATCTTCCACATTCGTATCTCGACAATACCGCAGCTGACCATCGGGGTCATAGAAGACTTTAGGAGGAAATCTGAAAGAGCTCTTGCTCAGGAACACGGGCGAGATTTGAATCGCACTGATCTCCGGCAACGTCGAGGGTGTGCGCAGACGGCCTGCTCGTACGTCCTCAACGCTGTAGTACGAGATGAGGTGCTGCGTGGAGCCCTCAACCTGCATGGAAATGGTCTAGATCAAGAGCAAGGTTTCAAGGATGAGCGTTGCGGAGTGTTATAGGCGTTTCTGTATAGCCAATTGTGACGAACCTTTTTGCAAAGACCATTCTTGGCAAACGGGTAGCTGTTTGTGAGACTGCCGACCAAGCTCCGCTCAAAGTCGGCTTCCCTTTTGGCTAAGCTTGCCTGATCGTATGCACTTGCAGAGTGAGGCGCTGACTTGGGGCGGCCAACGTGACCAGAGCTCTGTGAAGCAGAGGTGTCTGCGTCTGTCAGCGAGCCGCTGGCAGCCGTACCAGCGCCAGCAAAGCTAATCGTCGAGGTGCCGAAGTCCATGAAAGCTGAGGGATCGCTCGCTGCAGAGTTCCAAGTCGCAGCGGTGTCCAACACGCTGCCCTCGGATTTTAGTCTGGACATCGCTTCGGCATTGGGGTTGTATGGTGGGTCTGCCGAGGGCAAACCGAGCAAATCATTGACGACATCAGTGCCCGGGAAATCAGCCATAGGCACCCCTAGCTCGAAGGGATGGAGCTCTTCTGTTGTAGCAGGCACAGGAAGGCCTGTACCAATGGACTCGTCGCCCATCGATTCATAGCTGTCATCTTCCCGCGACGAAGGGTCGGAAGAACCCTTGAGCTGGTGCTGCTTTTTGTCTATCTGACGGTAGACCTGCGACATCGAAGGCAAGCTATGAGCGGATGCTGAGAGCCAAGCTGATGGACCACGTAAAGTGACGTACCAGGAAGTTCATCAGTATGCGACTTGGGCTCCACAAAAGCCCGTCAGTCCAGCGCTTGATGCCGCTCTCACGCTCGTCGAACACAAACACTGATCCACTTCGGATCAGCTTACGTTCGTCATCGCGTAGCCTGCGGGGGATCTTCGACATCTTCTTTTGGCGCACTGCCTCGAAGAGCAACAAGGCGTCGTGTGTCGATGCACTGCGTGGGTGAAGATGGGGCGTGATCGTTGGTGAGCAAGAGGACGCCTGTCGCTGCCTTTCCGCTGGTCACGCACATGTAACCTGTGAAAGTGGGCTCTGTAATCCCGCCCATGGTGAGGACTAGGGAAGGCGCGGACCGAGCAGGATGGAAGTATGACGCTGGCTCCCTCTCCGGCGATGTGTACTTGAGCCTCAGAGCTAAGGGTGAGCGATTGGAGAGGAAAGCTTGGTGGCTGATGGTGGTTGCGCAGAGTGACTCGTGAGGGATGAAGTTCGTGAAAGGAATCCTGGGTCGTCAACGAGCTCTGAGAGGTGCTGAGACGATCTCCATGCTCTCCAGTTGGTCCTGGCTCAGAACTGGCGAGAAAAGGACAGCACGCGAATAGCAGCTGGGCACGCAACCACAGCAAAGCGGCTCTTTGTAGCACCTAAAGGACAAAAATCGCAAGAGGAGATGGCATGTCAGCGCAGCCTGAGTACGCATGACAGCGACATCGACAAGTTACGAGATCAGAGTGCGGCATTCTCTCTCAACGCCTCGAATCTCGTCAACGGTGGGAAATGGACCCAAGCGCTCGCGTGGGGGGAGCAGCCCAAGGCAGCCTCATCGCGACTGCTGGGCCGATACTTTGCGCGGGAAAAGACGAGAGGCTCTCTTTGGTTGACGTAGCGTCTTTCTCTGCCAGTCCGTACCTTCGCACACGCAAGCGCCATCCTACAGCAGCCTCGAATCGACTTTACTCACTTGCAACAACTTTACCTGATGATGTGCTAAGCCAAACTCAATTCCGCTCTTCGAGTGGCTTCCCGGCGATCGAGTTGACAGCCGCCGCTGCAGCTTTGCTGGTAGAAGAATGATACAACGACTCGTATGCGGCGGACAAAGCGCCATGAAACGTGTAATTAGACGCCAGAACGTCAAATGGCAAGACGCCGCAGCACAAGTGCGTCGAATGGCCGGTTCCTGCGTCGCTTCTTGCTCTTTCAGCAGTGCCTACGACTGTATCGAGAGGGCTAGGCACGTCACACGGACTGCACGGTTTTATACCTCTGCCCGGAGGTCAGTTGGCCGAATGAAGGCGTCCCGATGTATAGGTGAAGGGAGGCCTTGAGCGGTCCGCGGTCTCGAGCGAAGATCCTCCGACCTCGGACCGAATCTATTGAGAGGACTCTGATCCGTGCTGTCACTGAGAGAGCGTTGACTATAGAAGGCGGACGACAAGCGCAGACGGAGCTGAGTAAGAATTTGGTAGTGAGGGGAGCGGTTCGCAGGACGGGCCGCGTTTTATCAGGAGCTTCTGCTACGCCGTGTCTCAGCAGGAGCTTCTTCTTCAGGCCAAGAAACAGATGTGCACTCCAGTTTGCGTCACCGAGCGGACGAAGAGGCTGTCTGCGAGGCAACCGGTCGAAGCTCGGAAGTTCGCAATGTTTCGAAGGGCGGCTCCTGCCAGAGAATGCCAATGAAAAGGGAAGGGCGGACGTGGAAGGTTGGACAGAAACGAAGGTTGCACAGCTGCCGGTGCCGCACAGCCTCGAAGCAGGAAGCGAAGAACGTAAAGAGGAGCGTATCGTCCACAACAGCGTCGAGGCGACTTGTCAGCACGGCAGGCGGCGCGCGAGGTGCTGATGCGAGCAGCAGTGCAACAACACGGATAGGGCTTGTGCTGAAGAAACAAGGTGGGAGTTCGAGGAGGTAGCGCGTGGGATCCGAGGTTCCGGGCATGAGATGAGGGCTTCGTCGCGCCACTGGTGGTGTTGATCAGTCAAGACTAGGGAGCGTGCGATCGTCAGAGAGCCGCGACTGCCGCCGATCAAGCTTGAGACTTGAAGCTTGAAAGAAGCAGCATCTGGACTCACAGCAGCATGCGATATCGGGAGAAACGCTCCGCTTCAGAGCTCTCGACTCGTCGCCCTGTCGGCTGCTGCACCATGTGCAGGTTGCCTCGTTCAAGGCCAAACTTAAATCTTGTGCGGACAAAAGTACCAGTCAGACTCGCATTGGGTGCGCTACGGTACCGGATACTGCGCGAGCGACGTGTGCGAAGCGGCTGGGCTTGACTCGGCGCGCGTGGTAGGACCCCGAAGAGATTGGACAGCGCTGGCTTTTGGAAGGAAGCTTTGGCATTCGAAAGGCCCAAAATATCGAATGTGAGTTCCGGTTCATCATGCTTGCGTCAATTAATCGCTCGATGCTTTTTGCGTCTCATCAGCTAGTGTACAGTATAAGCCGTACGGCCGCGGCTTGTGCGCGCGCCCGCGCGGTGAAACATCAAGCACGCGCGGATGAGACCTGCTTCTCAAGCTCCGGCATCGTTGATGCACTAGCGCGCCTTAGCGGTGAGAGATCTCGTGCATGATCCAGCTGCGCTCATCCCATCGTCACTCTTGACTGTGACTCTTGACTCAGATGCCGGCCACACACACACACACCATCCAAGTCACGAGTGGAGATCAAAGCTCATCAGAAGAAGAGTTACGCGAGCATAGTTCGTGTTTGGTACAGCTAGCTCTGGCTGGCTGCGATGAGCATTTGCTTTAGCGATCCGTCACTGCTGGGCTCGGCACAGATTCATTCAAAATTGAACAGCGCCTCCTTCTGCCCCTCGATCGCCCTTCCAGCGCCAATTGCCGTCTGAGCGGGCTGTTCCTGAAGCAGAGACGCTTCTCGATCTCCTGTCGAAACGCGTCCCTACCTGCATGTGTCTGTTGTAGCGGGTGGATGAGCGCCCCTCGCCAGGCCCTTCATTTTGGGTCCTCGGAAGCTATCGTGCCCCGCCATTGTTTGTTCCGGGCGAAGCTGAAGCTCATCGCGATCGGTGCTGCTCAAGTCACCCGAGCAGCTAGGCGCGTGTTGCCCATGCAAGCTGCATCTCGTTCTGCTGGAAAGCGAGAAGCTCGAGCGCGTCGTGACGTGTGCCCGCACCCTATCATACACAGTACGTACCCAAACAAGTGCTGCTCTCTGCCGAAACAAGTAGAGCTAGAACAAGGTTGATGTGAGCGAGTGGCATTCTGCAGACTTACATGCAGCATGCCCGCATGTCGTCGTGCTAGCGTGGAAAGTGCAAAGGAGCGCGTGAAGAGGGAAAAGGCTCCCTCCACGCCAAATTCCACGAGTTCACATCCTGCTGACAGCGACCAAGGGACTCGGAGCGAAGGAAGACTCTGACTGCGCGAGCGTACCTGTGCTACTGTACCGTAGTCATCGATCGCCTCTTCACACTCAGACAGAGGCGGTCAAATCCAGGAGTACAGTCAACAGCAGACACTTTGCGCCGTGCGCCGTGCCCCGGAAGCGTGGTCAAGGCCCGAGCGGCCAGAGAGACAGACTATTCGCTCGATTGCTGCTGCTGGCCTGTGCTCAATCGCTTTGCTTGACTCGGGAATCTGTGATGGAGGTGCGTTAATTTGTTTGTAGATCTTTTCATGAATCTCATCAGTCAGCAGGGCTAATTTGCATTGCGATCGACGGCGAGGAAGATGTGGCCTCGCTTCGCTCGCTCTTTGTCTGTATGCAGTGACCGGAGGTGCCTACCTCGTACTTCGGGGCCCAGACGCTCGCTGTAGCATTCGTCAGTCATGAGCAGTCACAGTCGAGTGTTTGATGTATCCAAGCTTGCGTTGCGTTAGTCGCTCGTGCGATGCTGAAGAAGCGGCTAGCAGTTGCGAAAATCTGGATGCGCCTCTGGCTACCTGGCAGCAATGGCGAGTCCTGCTGCAGCAGAAGATCTGACTTCCCGAGCACCTCGTGCTAAGCAGGCACACTTGTTGTGTTTGTTTTCCACAACCGCCGAAAGGCAAGAGAGCTGCACTTGCCTCGCACCGCTGGACAGACGCCTCTCACTGCCATCCTGCCCGCACGAGCCATCACCAGTCGAGCTTGCCAAGCCACAGAGCGGAGGTCCAAAACGGACTCACCTTGTGAGCCAGCGGTCGCTGCTTGCACTCACGACTTCGATGAAGGAGCAAACGAGAAGCAGCTGTCCCCCCCCGCAGACGACGCATGGCAAGGGTGCCCGCCCGTGCCGTACGAGCGAGGAAGCTGCGACGCAGAGGTATGTCCATGCAGCGGGGCAAAACACTAGTCTGATGAGTCTCACAACAGAGTGGAGCAAGGTCGAGCGAGGAGCAGTCAATTTACGGTCATTCGCGACATTCACGATTCGCCATTCGATCGTGTGAATCCATTTGCAGGTTCATTTGCAGTCTCGGTCAAGCCAGCAAGATCGATGGCTACTGCGGTCGTTCTGAATGTGCTCAAGCATGAGTCAGCGCATCTTGAGATGTCACAGACGGCCTACGTGCAGCACAGCACCCCCCTTGCCAGCTGCAACCAATAGGCTTCACATGTACACACTTACAGGACGCGCTTGCATGCTCGAACCTAAACTCTGTTGATGTTCCAGAAGAACCCCAGATGAGCTAGATAAGCTGGCAAGGTGCTGAAAGCGTGTTTTTGCACAACTGGCCGGCGAACCCGGCTGGACAAGCGGAACAAAGCGGGGCCCGAGATGGATCACTCGTACGTCCCTACCGCGACTTGCCCTCTTCCTCGCACGCGCTGCATTAAAAGGGGACCGGCGGCAAGCAGCGTGACCCACGAGGCTTCGGCCGTCGACGCTTGTCAATGCGCAAAGGTCGCTTGCGCCTCAGAGGTGACGCGCGCGAAAGTGAAGATGCTGCTATCGCCTTGTCTGACCGCCGAGTCACAGACCATTCCTTTGAGAAGACCACAGCACTACACGGGAGACGAGGCAGCCTTAGTGACGTGCCAACCTTTCAGGTCTACGGAGATGCAAATTGTGAGAGTGCCAATAATGCAGGTTGCTACAGATGATTTACACAAGTTCCACAGCGACTGCATGAAGCCAAATAATGCTAAAGCCCGGAGGCGCCTGCCAAAATAATTTCTACCGCCTCCCTTCACTTGCCATTGATTGCTCGAAACGCCTTCGAACGCTTTCTGGATCGCCATATTGTAATGAGCTTGAGCTAGCGGAGCTGATCTCTTGCGCAGTGCGAAGCTTCGTGCTGCCCAGTCCGGCGCGGCCTTCCGTCGCTCTCGCCAGAATCTCGTCTCCAAGCGTGTATCCCTCCTCTCCACCGCGCATCTTAGCCAACATTTGAAAGCCTCGATTGGAATCGTTCAAAGGCGCCGGATCGGCGGTAGAGCGCTCCACAGTCCCAGCCACAGCACCCCGGGGTGGACGAGCGGCTTGATGACGCATTGCAGCTGACTCCGTCGATTGCGCTTGAGCAGGTCGCCCTGGCGAAGCGCTGCGACGTCTACCCCAAGCCCTCTTCTGTTTCGACTCTCCAGGGTGCATGGCTCGCCGAGCAGCTGCTCTGTCAAGGTACACTGGACCTGCCGCCGCTTGTCCTGATGGAGATTCTTCGCTACGTCCGTCTTCGTCGTCTTGGCTTCCCAGATACTGCTTCCTCATGTCTTTCATGCGCTGACGTCGCACCGCTTCCGTCTCCACCTTGCGATCCATTGGGACACGCTCTGTGGTCGACGTAGTGCCCTTGTTGCCTTCTTGACGCTGAAGGCTATCTGCTTTGAGTACTGCTTGACATGCTCCAGCGCCCTCTGCGTCTGTGATTGATGACTTTGCCTTCTCGTCGCTGGGCCGAAGTTGAATCTCATTTGTTCCATCACTGTGAAGAGAACACCTTTGACACGCCAAGGAGCCATGCAAATGAACCTCGAACGTGGTGTCGCCAATCCGCAGCCAGTCTGCATTGTCGAGTCTCATGGGACTGCTGGCTTTTCGTGCCTCGGACAAGCGGTTGAATCGGCTTGTCGGAAGGCCTGAAGCTAGCTGATCTGCGGCACCTTCGGGGATCAATTTGCAAGCAAGATGATACGTGCCGTGCACCGAGCCAACATCGGTGATGAACCAAGCTCCTACGCCTGACATGCTGGACACCAGGTAGAATACGTTCGCATGATGCTTCGACACCTCCATGGCTGGCAAACGGATGCGGGAGGTGAAGGCCTTGTCACGCCCCTAACGATGGCATGGCAACGGCACTCAGCCATGCTGCAAGACACTCCCACTGGCGTCGACTAGAATCTCAGCACTACTCACAATGCTGACGCTTTCTTCCCTAGCGTCGATCACTGCCACGCGGCGTCCCTCGGGTAGCACCTTTGAGGAAAGCGCCACCAACCGCATCTGACCCGTCGCGCCGCTTCCAGCTGCGTCACTCGCCGCTGCAACATCGGAGGCAGCATGGCGAGGATCCGGGTGGTAAGTACTTGGATGCCACTGAGCCTCTTGTCCACGTCTGCGATCATGCCACTGTCGAGATCTTGGCCCCTGGTCGCGGTAATGGTGGTCGGCTAGGCTGCGACTTTGGGGATCTGGGCGCCAGGTGTGCCGATCGCCGGTGTGATCTTCGGTCGATGACCTGTAATCATAATTTTCAGCATCCCAGCGATCATCTGGGCCTCGCCATCGATCCTCTGGATCGGCCGTCCGATCAGAGTATCGATCATGCTGCCACCGATCCGGTCTGTGCCAGTCCCTACGATGATATTGCCTATGGCTATGCAGATCGTAAGAATCGGCTTCATGATGATGTCTTGCGGGCTCTCGAAGACGCGGATCCTCGTGCCAGTTGCCCTCTTCTTGGTAGGGTAGCCTTCGATCTCGATCTAGATCATCGTAAGCAATCCGACTCTACTCTCGGAAGGAGCATAGGTCCAACATCAGCAAAGCTGCCCGAGATAGAGACCTGTCAAAGCTTCTGCTACGTGATGCGCAGCACTTTCGGACTGACTCTTTGAGACCCCTCTCCTCGTCGACGCTCAAATCCATAGTCTTGCCGGTGGTCGTCATTGCTTGGGAACCCACCATCCATCTTGAAAATAGACAACAGCTGACAGTTTGGATACTTGCCGACTTTTGTGCAGAATGAGTCGTGAGGTATGTGATCATGTGTCTGACTCGGGCTGGTCGGGCGGGGTGGGGCAATTGGACCATTTCACTCGATTGTCCACACCCTGGTTGGAAGACGTTTCGTAGCTGATGGCGACCTCACGATCGCACGATTTCACGATTCGCGATTCCGATTCAATTGTGATTCATGATTTGACCGCCATGCACGCATGCATATTGAGCTAGCTAGTTTGGTGTATGGTTTGGCGCGTGTTTTAATCCTTGATTGAGGAATCAGGCTCTTTTAGGAAAGCGTGGTCAGGAACTGGATTTCATCTCTTCATTGTGAAGCTTCATTTCTGCGTAGAAATGTATTTGATCCTGTCACCTTGGGCGACAAGTTTGCTAGGTGTCTAGACGCGCCGTGCAATCAAGAATTCAAGACTCGACTCGATTGATTGAAGAATCTCGAGCAGCCGAAGCTTGCTTTATTCTTGACGCACCTGATGCAAGCTTCTGAAGCGGTGCGACCACGCGGGTCCAGCTATGGACTCGTGACTATCTATCCCGTCTACCTGCCACAACGCTCGGCGAACGCTTCACTTCCAGAATGACGACTCGCGACCGGGTGCGCACATTCTTCATCCTCAATCAGAATACCAAATTTAGACGAGGACAATTCCTTATCAACAGAGCTGGGATCAGTGCGACGACTGTTGCTCTTGATGCGGAGTTGTGCACTTCGCTGGCTTAATTCGCACGGAAGGGGTGTGGAAGAACGCTGGGAGTTGGGTCAGAGGTGCACGTTGCGAGGTGAGATGGTGCTGTCTGCCATCTCTGTGCCATCAAGACTGCCAAGCTGAAGTCTCCTTGCCCACAGGATGAGTCAGACTGGACTTCAGGAGGCGCTTCGGCTCTTGACGAGCGACAAGATAAAGGGCAGAGAGGAGGGACAGACTGCGATACGGGTCATCTTTGGCAAGCGCTCCGTTTGCGCACGCTTCGACGAGGAAGATCCAGATCGTCAGCGCTGGGTTCGGGTCGTCGAGGCCCTCTACGCGTGTGCTGCCTTGGACAAAGCTGCATGTATGAAGCGTGGGGACTGGAGAGATGCTCCTCAGGTCGCCATTAATCGCGTCAAGCACAGCGCTCAGACGGCTCGCTGGCTCATCGAGCAAGCTATCGCAGAATTTCGGCTCCCAGCCGTGTTTGTTGTGCTGCAGCAGACCTTCAGGCTGCTCGAGCAGCGAGGTCAACCTTTCCAGCCTGTGTTGCTGGAGTGTTTGCAGGCGATGGGTGCGGCCTTGAGCTACGCGCCTCATATCGATCACTTTGATGAAGCTCGATGGTCCGACACAGCGGGTCTGCTGTGTAATATCTTGTTTCAAGACAGGCTCTCGGCCAAGTTGGAACAACATCAAGAGGCTGACATTCGACTTGACGGTGCCCCTCAGCCAAGCCCATCCGATGAAGAAGATGGCGACGCGGCGCCATCGGCGCAAGGGCTGGCCACTTGCGACCGGCGCAAAAGGCCCAGGTCTGCCAGCGCTGCGAACACGAGCTCACAGAAGAACGTCGCCGGTCCGGAGGACGTCGAAGTGATGAAGGCCATTCAGAAGCTCATCGAATCGACCACTGCGCCTCTTTGCACGGATGCGAAGCTTGGGCTGAGGCTTCTCAGCAAGTACGCCAGGTTTCTCCAAACTTTTAGAACAGACTCCACAGCCCACCTGCCTGCAATGATAGGGCTCAACGCATTGCTGAACAAATTGCAGTACAACGAACGAGTGTCCGTCGCTCGCTTTGCGTTCTGGAGCTGGCCTTTCCTCTTAGCCATGTGGCCCACCAAAAATCGGCCGCTCAAGGAGCAGTTAGTCGTGTGCCTCCGAACCCTTTTGCCCATCGCTGCTCGCGCGCTTCCATGTCCAGGTCCTCAGGCAGCGAGATTCGCCTCATCAACGCAAGGAGCCGCTGACGTGGCAGATCAAGGGCAGCGCGCCAGGTGCCTGGCTCAGGTGTTTGAGCTCGTGCAAACGGAGTGTGACCATCGCTGGGCGATACCACCTCTCACACTGGCCAATGTCGATCTCGCGCATCAACCTGGAGTTCCTCGCGCAGGGCTTGAAGCGGAACATGTGCTGCTTGCTGGCACACTCAGGCCCGGTAGAGGTTTCACCGCCCCTCACGCCCTTACTTGGGCAATGCTCGAGCTTGCTGCTGATGCCGTGATTTGTATTCAGGCGCTTGGCTACTCTTCGACCCGAAGCGATCTCGTTCAATCAGCAAATGACATCGAATCAGGCGACGCGCAAGAAGTATCGGCAGTCTCTCGCCTGAGATCGGCACCTCATGGCCAGGGCTCGCATGCTACCACTGCTCCCACATCCACCTCGAGAACGACAAGCGCCCTTCTGTCTAAAGGCGGCGCGATTCGTCACGATGCCAAACGGCGTCGTCTGGAGGATTTGCCGATGGCTACATGGACACCACAAAGTGCTGTTGGTACCCTGGCAGGCAGATTGTGCAAAGCAGCAAGCTTGCTCGAGCCCGCTAAGCGTATTTGGTATCTCCAAATCATTCTCTTTGTCAACGCGAGGCACTGGAAGCAGATAGACCCCGACGAACGCCGAACTGTCCTCGAGTACCTCCTTGGTCACGCTTCTGGCGACGATATAGACGTTCAATGTTGGTCTCTCGTCGCATTCGCAGCAGCCGCTCGCAACTCGACATCCTCGCGCACTGTAGCTGAGGCTTCAATCTGGTCAAGTATGTGGCCACTGGCATGCCGGCGGATGAGCATGCCCGGCGCCGCTCGCGCTGGTGCCCACGCTGCACTAGCCATACTTCAAGCTGGGCTCCTGGAGCCAAGTGTAATTCACCCTCAGATCGAAACGGTCCTTGGAAGCATTGACCTTCAGGGTCCCAATCAAGTCTCCGACGCTGTGTGCGCCTTTCTCTGCGAGTGCTTGTGTCGCTGTCGAGCTACGCCTGGCATAGATGCTCGTACAATGGAGCAAAAGTGCGCTACATGGCTAATGGCTACCTGGTCTCCTTCAGAAGCTGTTTCTAGGCGCTCGAAAACGAACGCTCGCGCGGAAGAGCAAGACGCAGTCGATCTTGCCAACCTCATGGCAAACATCTGCCGACTTTCTCGTTGGCCGACTCTCGCACGCGTGCGTCCATTGCTCCCATCCTGCGCCGTCATTACGCAGAACCTTGATAACGCCGAGAATGCCTCACTCGGATCGTTCCTCTTGCAATGCGACGTGGGCGACCCCGAAGTCGCTTCCGAGCCCGTGCAGCTCTCCGACGTAGAGTTCGAAGAAGGGGTTCCTTCGCGAGAGGGAGACCCGATCGTTCAACGGCTCCTCGCGTTCGTTGTCCGCAATCTGGAGGTCTTTCTAGATGAGTGGTCGGATGCCAGCGACAGTACTGGCAAGGTCAGACTGAAGGCGCATGGCACAGTAGAACAAGTGCGGCGTACGGTGGACTTCGCGGCGGCCGCGCTCTTGTTCGACGCGATCCTTCGAGCAAACCACGTGGACTCGTCTCGTACGGTCTCATCCGCCGCTAGCAGCTTACTGGGCTCTGCAATCGGCGCAGCAGCTGACCAGCGGTGGACGCCTTCAGCACGCCTTACAATACTCAAGGGTCTCGAGCCGCTGCTGCCTTGTCGACCTGTGGTACGATCAGATAGCACGCTTGACAAATGGTCAGCACTTGTCCGGCCAGGAGCTCATTCTGGCGCGCAACGGAAGCTTACTAATGACACATCGAGCAAGCTTCCAGACCTCCCGTCCGCCGTATTCCATGCTCGGCTTTGGCGTCAAATAAGCTGTCAAGAAGTAATCCTCGAAACTCTGCGGAGTGTGCTTGGCCGAGTGGCCAAGCCCAGTGAATCGTTGCGAAGCGTCGGTACTCAGGCTGCCGCGGCGGAGGACGATGGAGTGTGGAGCAACATTCGCTCTGCCGACGATGGCCAGAGGTCGGAAAATGCGTCTGCTGTTGAAGATTTCACCGAGCGTCTCACGATCGAGCTTTGCATCGGAACTCTGTGTGATGTTCCCATGTTGAGGCTGCCACAAGCCCCGTGCCAGCGCTCCGAAGAAGGCGATTTACGTGAGGAAGACGTCGCCACTAGCAGCTTCGGACCTGGTATTGCTCAACCTCAAGCGACATCAGACGACACCATCAGTCAGCTTCTTGTTGAGGGACCCATCAGCTTCTTGCAATCAGCTCTTGGGACCGCTTGTCGGTTGTTTGAGCAGCATCGCCTACACTTCACCCGCAGCACGCTGAACACCATCATTGTCCGACTTGGTGATGACATGCTCTTGCTATACGAGCACGAACAAAGCGAGCAGGCGCAGCTGCTAGCCATCAATCTTCTTGACCGCACCCTTGCAGCATGGTCTCACCCCTCCGCGTCCCAGTCCGAGCTTCAAAGTAACGCCGAGAAGCTTGCCGGCTACTTTGCCAAACGTTTCTCAAAACGGCACATGCTCACGACCCTTGTCCGACTACGGTCAGGAGTTTTCGTTGAGCGCATGCTCAGGTGCATGTCGGGAGCCGATCCCATAGTATCTAAAACGCTGGTCGCGCCCATGAAGTGGCGCCCAGAAAGGCCGGCGGATCTCAAAGCGCAGTCGCTTCTGCTTTCCCTTCTAAGATCTGTCGGGGATAAAGACGCAGGGGTCCGTTTTGCCGCAGCCTCTCGTGTTGGCCGACTTGTCGACATATGCGCATCTGGCAGACTTCTTAATCTTGAAGCCCTTTACGAGGAGCTGAGGAGTTTACTGCCGGACGACGTATCAGATGCTGAGCTGATGATGACGCGAGTTCTGACTCTAGGTAACGTGTTGATCTCAAACGGGCCTGTGCGCTATCTTGCGATCTACCACCTCCTCGAGCTCTCGCTCGTCAGCACTCAATATCACGAGATACTCGCTACGGTCTTTGAGGCGGTTGCGTTGCGCTTAGGCTTCCCTAGTGCACGTGATTTGTGGCTCCACTTCTGTCCTAGCTCGACGTGGTTCCTTATACAAGGCGGCTATGATCCTCTGCGTCTGCCGTACAACGTCCTTGGGTATGCATCCCGCAAACACTGCGTGGAAGGGACCTTCCGACCTGTCGCTTCGATACTTTTGGCTGCAGAACAGGATCATCATCTGGAAGCCTTCACTACCCTCACGAGCTTCACTAGGAAGAGCACGGACGGCGCTATGAAAGAATGTTTGCCTTTCCTTGCCGCCATCGAGGCTGGCTCATTAGGAGAAGAGAGCGCTCTCTCACAAAGCAGACCTGATTACAAGCAGCAGCGCAAGACTCTGCAAGCTCGTCTTGCCTCGCGATGGCATCTACCTCCAGCGCGTTTCCATGAGATCAGCGCCATGTTGTCAGAGACCGCAAATTTAGTCGTTGTCGCTCTCCTCCAAAACTTGTACGACTCCACTGATCGGGACCGGCGGAGCGACGCAAGCAGCCTTGACGCGATTACAGGCGTAGGCAGAGGTTTGGGTATCGTTCTCGCCGCTCTCGATGGGGACGATCCTCAGCGCGCCATGGTGCTTCGCGCTCTCCTCCGACCAATAGACGCGCACGAAGCTCCAGAACTAGACTCATATCTTCCTGCTAGGCCCTTTTACAGCGCTGCAGCGGTCTATCACGGCCTGCAGATCCTGGCAGACGGAGAAGACGAGCTGGTGAGCGCCGCTACAGCGTACCACGTCGTCCGGCGTTTGTTCGGTACCATAGCCAGCGGATGCTTGATCAATGATCAGCATAGACATTTGTTCGCACTGAAGCTATATATCGCTATGGCATCTCCATCAATCACTGAGGACAACGTTGTGCTATGTTGCATCATCCAAGGAGCCTTGGGCCTTCTTCAAGCCTTAGACTTAAGCGACCAGACCCTGAGTCTACTCGACTGGAGCCTTCGACGCGTACTGCACCTCTCACCTACATCGCCTCGCCTTGCACCTCTGCTGACTGCACTGTTGCACACCGCCGAGTCGCTCGACGTCAGTGGCGAAGAGAAGAAGCGCAGTCTTAGTACGAGAATACTTTCGTGGCTAGGCCGAGTCCTGCAGGAGTCCACCGATAAACAAGCTCAGCCGACAATCTCATTGGTGCTTCTGGCTTGGCCTGCCGAGCTGCCAGCACCTTTAGCAGCTCAAATGGAGGGCAAGATGTCAATAACAGATTTTGCCAGTGCGACTTACCAATTGCCGGCCAACGCCATGAATGCATACTTCATTCGTCGGCTCGAGCCTGCCCTGGCTGCAGCATCAGAGGATGCGAGGAACGAGTTTCAAGCTGGCGCCATTTGGCGGCTCTTGGCACCCAGCGCGGCCGACGACAAAATCGTCAAGCGTGGTGAACGCGCTCATGCAGCAGCACGAATACTTTACTTGTGTCAGAATCAGCTGAGGTCACCGTCGGCGAATCACAACGGCGCAGAGTTGTCGGCTGCCTTGCCCGTCTACGCCCTCAGCGAAGATAATCATGCAGACCTCTTAGGACCGCTCAAGAGTGCGATCCTGGCGGTGCTGCTGGATTGCTTGAACAAAGTGGAGTCAGTAAGCACAGTCGACGCTCTACTTCGTCCTCTCTGCGCCATCCTCACCTCTGAGCCTGCGTTGCGCGAAGCTCATTTCAGGATCGATAGCGCATCATTGCACGAGTTGAACTTGCTCTCCGCATTCGCCTCTGAAATGCACGTCCCTCGACGCCGCTCGATCGTAGAGCTTGAACACTGGTCAACAGAGCTTTCATCGGACGACTACGAAATATGGGCGTCCCGCTTTGCGCTGCTGCTATGCGACATTCTTTCCCTGTTGCAGCCCGTCTCTTTCTTCGGGCAGATCGCTCCTGTTCTTCGGCACAACTGGCAGATGGCAGGCACCTTGCTGCCTGCATTGCTGCATGCGACACTCGAGACGGAGCAGCTCGCGCAAGATCTCTCAGAAATCCAAGGGTCCTCTGCTACCATCTCGAAGCACTTCACAGCCTTATTAGAGCGCCCCGACTGCGACAGACGAATTTGGAAAGCAGTGATTGAGATGGTCATCCATCTTCGCAAGTACGTTCGCGGTGACTCGCCCATCGGTGATCAATGGCTGCAGATCGACTTTCTTCTGTTGGCACGTTGCGCTTCCGACGTTCGCCGCTTTGCCTGCGCGATGCTTTTCGTGGAACTTGCGAAGGAGTACACAAGGCCCGATGCTAGGGAAAAAGGCTTCAACTCGAGCGATCCCAAAGTACTGGATCTTCTCTATAGAATCTGCGAAAATATCGAAGACCCAGACAGCTTTTACGCGATTCGAGATAATGATCTTCGCAAAGCTCTAATCGGAAGGCTGCATCACGAGAAGCGATGGGGCCGCGCGTTCGAAATGCACGCCGCAAGCCTGGAAGCTGCTTCTGACGCGCTCTTCCGTCGGGTTCTTGGAAGCGACACGGCACATCTCAACCTCACCTTGCACGAGATGGGCTTCAACCGCCTCTCGAGTCTTCTTGACCGTGATGTCGCCAACCTGACCTCAGGTGGTGAAGGTTCATATGAGCCCTACAGCTTCCAAAGTGCGAGCACGAAAGTGCAAGGAGATGTTCGCGACATCACTTATGATGTAGCTTGGAGAGCTGGCAACTGGGACCTGCCACTTGGAGACCGAAGCCTGCTTGGCTCCGATCGCAACGTGTACGCCGCGCTGCGAGGCCTCCATCAGAATCGCAATGCTTTCACTTCCAAAAGAGCACTGCTCAATAATCTGAGCGACGAGCTGTCCGCTTTCAATACCATTGGCCCGGAAGCAAACACCCTAGCTCGAAGGATTGGCCGGAATCTTATGAGTCTCGGGGAGGTAGCGCAGTGGCAAGGGCTCCTGTCCGGCAATGCCACTGCGACGCCTTTTGTCAACGCAAATCCAGAGCACTCCAGCGACTTTTTGGAGTGAGTTGCTTTTGAACGTCCCATTTTCTCGACAAAGCTAATACCCCTTGCACTTCGTACCTGCCAGATTTGACGACTTCGAGCGTCTCCTGAGCATACGTGTCGCTTTGCTTCGACTCGAACGCTCCTATAGCCGCCGAGATGACATCGGTGAAGGCATTCGCACAGGTATTGACGTAGACCTTTCTGCGAGGGAGATTGGAATCCTTATGCGTCTCAGTCAAGGGGCACGTGATCACGTGCTGCCGCAAACCGCCATGAGATCTGTCCTTGCAGCACAAGAGCTTCATGATGACGTTGCTGTCGACGGTCCTGAAGCAAGTGTTCGCGCTAAAAGTTTAACGAGCGTAGGAGCCCTGACCGAAGAATTGGCAAATGTTTTGTGGACGCAAGGCGAGCACTCAATGGCTATCCAAGCGTTGGAACATGTGCTGCCCCGACATTTATCCAACAACAACAAGGAAATGGTAGAGGCAGCACTAAGGAGGTCGAGACTGGTAAGCGGTTTAGCGAGGCAGTGTGCTGAAGTGAATCAAGACTGACTTCGTGACTACACAATTGTATACCAAATCTCCCAGGGCCGCTGGCGTGCCACAGCTCGTTCTGACCAGCCGCGTCGTATAGACTCGGACTACTTTCACGTCGCTTGGGAGCTCGTTCTAGACGGCCACGGTACTGCTGCTGACAGAGCACAGGTCGCTCATGACTATGCGACCTTTGCAGATGAGCAGTGCCATAGTACGTCTGTCAATGAGGAGGTATGCAAGCTGGAACGCTTCGTAAAGGACCGGCGCGCAGAAATCGACTCGATCGAGACCGCCATGGGCGAGGAGTCCGATGCTGGGCGCAAGAAAAAGATGGCTCGTCAGAGGAGCGAGGCGAAAAAGCTTTTGAAAATCGACGAGGCCCAGCTGGTGCAACACGTCAACGCTCGCAAGGCCTTTCGCGACCGCGCAGCCAACATGTTTGCCGTTTCGCTGACTGACAGCGATAGCTTCGATGGAGACATCATCAAGCTCACGTCACTGTGGTTCGAACACGCGGATGACGAGGCGTTCAACGGTCGTTTGCGAGACTCTATACTAGCAATTCCTTCCCAGAAGTTCGTGCTTTTGATGCATCAAATCTCGTCTCGGCTCTCCAAGACTGGAAGCAGCGCTCGCAACACGCCCCTAAGTGCTGCTTCTGCGACGAGCGAGACCTTTGCTTCAACGCTCTTCGCGGTCACGCAGAAGATGGCTTTGGAACACCCCTTTCATTGCTTGTACGCCCTGTATGCTCTCCGAAAAGGGGCGGAATTGGAGAAGGCGTCTGCTCGCCGAGGCGAACTTAATCTGGCTCAGCTCGCAGCTAGTCCGCAGCAACTGCGCGGCGCAGCCGCGGAAGACATCATCCATCAAGCTCGCAATAATCCAAAGCTCAAGGGCCGTTTGACAGCATGGCAGAAGGTTTGCGATGCTTGTGTAGAGTGGGCGGAGATAAGTTTGCCGCACACCTACCCCAGCCTCTACCCAAAAGGACGCGTGGAACCGGGGGGACGGATCCTGCCGCCAGAGCCCCCGCTGAAGCTGCGTCGCATTAGGGACGTACCAGTGCCAGTCATGACCTGCAGGCTCCCAATCGATCCCACATGCAAGTACGAACACTTTGTCGGCATCGCACGATTTAGCGAACGCTTTTCAACTGCAGGCGGAATCCACAACCCTAAGATTACGGAGTGCCTCGGCTCCGATGGCCAGCGTTATAAGCAATTGGTGAGTAAGGTTCAGAATGTCATCGGAACAAAGGTCGAGGGCGGTGCTTATGTCAGTCCGGCACATCTGGAACAGTTCAAGACAGAGGACGACTTGAGACAAGACGCAGTCATGCAGCAAGTCTTTGTGCTCGTGAACGGTCTTCTTCAGCGTGACAAAGCCGCTAGGAAGAGAAGGCTTCATGTGCGAACGTACGCTGTCATCCCACTGGGACCGCAGTGTGGCCTTCTGGAGTTCGTAGCGGACACGGAGCCGATCGGGACGCAGCTGATGGACGCCCACAATAGGTGAGTTTTCCGTGAAAGTAGTGCCGCCTGCTCTGAGCCTGGTCTGACAAGTTCTCCTTGCGTCAGGCACGCTACGCCTGGAAGTCTAACGCCAATGGAAGCCCGCATGGCAATGCACAATGCGCAAAGCGGCACCTACGACGAGCGCGTCGACACGTTCCTCCAGGTCTGCGAGCGATTCCCGCCAGCTTTTCGCTTCTACTTCTTTGATCGTTATCATGTCCCATTGACTTGGCTTGAGACCCGCCTGAACTACACCCGCAGTGTTGCGGTCTCCTCCATCGTCGGGCACATGCTTGGCATCGGTGATCGACACGTGTCCAACATTCTTCTTGACACGCACAGCGGCGAGGTGATCCACATTGACTTTGGCGTAGCATTTGAGCAGGTGCGTAGATTGTGGTTGAGCTTCACGCTGCCGTGAGTCACTTCTTACCCCGCTTGCTTGCTTTTAGGGCCGTCTGCTGCCGATTCCCGAACTTGTTCCGTTCCGCTTGACGCGCGATGTCATCGACGGAATGGGCCTCTCGGGCACGGAAGGCGTCTTCAGGCGATGCTGCGAAGAGACCCTTCGCGTGCTGCGCGAGGGTGCCAACGTAGTTCAAACGGTGCTGGAAGTCTTCAAGTATGATCCTTTATGGGCTTGGTGAGTTTTCTCGACTGCCCTCGCCGCGAATTTGTTGCTTTGCAGCTGAGCCAGCCAATCTTGTGTCACTGCTACTCTCAGGTCCTCAAATCCGGTCAAAGTCTTGAAGGCGCAAGCAGGCGGAGAAGACTTTTACGCTAACGCACCTCGGGTCGGTACCTCAGGCGTGCGTGGAGTTGCCCTGAGCTCCACCAATTCGGGCCTCGGTACTTCGGAGCTAGGCAGAGGCGAGCGGGGTACAGCTGAGCTGCTGGCCGAAAGGGCTATCAGTTCAGTCATGGCGAAGTTGTCGCCAAATCTCAGCGTCGAATACACAGTAAATGATTTGATCCAGCAAGCCACGATCCCAGAGCATCTCGGCGTCATCTTTCATGGTGAGCCTCAATTTCGTCTCCTGAGAGCGCTCATCTGATACAGTCGTATGATTTGATACCCTTCTCCTTTCGCTGTGTCATGACAGGCTGGCAGCCTGCGCTTTGAAATCTCCACAACAATTCGTTCGACACTTCTCCAAGAAGACAGCCCTGGTTCATGAGCACGCAAGCAAGACCGCATTCCGAGCCGTGCTTCATTGCTTACGTGCGCGCAGTGAACAATCAATCCAAATTGAGCTCCCTTGCCACGTCGAAGCGGGCCCTCTCTCTCGTGATGGACGTCACGTGTGTGTATGAGGGCGTAAAGCTAAGTGAAGAGGGGAAGCGTCAAGCCTCGTTGATGAGCATGTCGTCTCAGGGGAATACCTTCGCAGACTCTTTTTGCTCCACTTCCGGTCCAGCACAGACCGTTTCTCCACTATCGGCTTGCCAGCAACAAAAGTACGATCACTTGATCACTGGCAGGGCAAAGCGGCCGAAACCCCGAGCTCGATGACCGCGGCGGACTCCGACTGCGGTGGAGCTCGAAACTTGCCTGCAGTTTTGAGCGCCGCGTAGGAAGGGGACAGCAAGGGGTGAGCGGAGAAGAGCATCTTTCGCAGAGACGTGTGGGCCAATCCAGTGTTGCGTGATATGTTGCGTCCGGGAGACGCACATCATTCAGGATCATACATTATGTGTTTCTGTGCTGCACTCATTTTGTTTGGTAGGGAAAGCTCGCCGTCCTACGCACAACGTCGCTCGCCTTACAGAAGGCTGAATTGACTTGCTGCTGTGAGGTGCGGTACACATTATGCACGTGATTCACGCGCGTAGCTTTCTGCTATACGTCTGCTGGGGCTGCACTCACCACTCATTCGCGACGTGGCTAGAGCACCATCGGGTCCACGGGATCGCTTCCTTACAACAGCGAAAGCAGTGCATGGCGGGTCGGTCTTTGGTACGGCGGCACTCGAAGTTTGGAGGTGAGATGCTAGCGACTCACCACCAGCATGCACTCACGGCTGCGCAATTCGACGCGTCTCGAAGCTCTGCGACAGACTGACTGCCTTTGCGGCTCGGTGAAATGAGGCGCCTCGCGCAGCTGATGTCTCTGTGCGCGATGCGCATCACGTCGCTCATCCGAGATCGCGGCCAACAGACTCACTAACCCGCGTGTACCTGCTGGTACAGAACACACAGCAGTCACGAGTAGCAAGTACGGCAGACAGCGCCGGCACAGCAGCAGCAGGGTCCTGCGTGTCTGTGCTGTGTCGCTTTGACAGCTGCAGGTCGATGCAAGCCTTTGAGACTCCGATCAACTCGTGACTCTCTCTGATGCAGCGCACGACCAAAAGCAGCAGTCAGTGTGAGTGCACGCTACCGTCCGCGCCCTCACCAAACTTTGACCCCTCGATTCGGCCAATTGCCACGGCAACTCGTGACTGTGATGCTTGCCTACTGCCGGTCTGCTGCAAGCGATCACCGCGAGATGCAAGCGAGTGACGAGGATTCAGCAGTCACAGTAGTAGCAGCACGAGTGCGCGACTGCGCGATCACACGTACGTCGCGGATTCAGATTTGGCCTACAGTCACAGTAATCGCAAATCGCGTGCTGCTTGCTGTATGCTGGACCTTCGAGATTTTTGATGTTGAAAGCAACCACCACCGAACAAACGCGACCGATTCGCTCACTTGCCAAAATTCGTCCCTTGGCTGATCACATCGCAGCACAAGCATAAATTCCGGCTGCTGAGAGAAGCACTAAGCGACGTCCAGTCTTCGACTCGTCCCACCAGTCTCTTGACGCGTCAAGGCAGCAGCTTCTAGTCGGATCATCTCAACGTGCGGGTCACCGCACAGGTCGCGAGTGGCAAAGCCAATGGACATCGCGAAGCTTTTCTTGTCACAGACAGTATTGGTAGTAGACGGACGCTTGCTCGCGTGGAACGAGCTTTTGGCACGCACGGACGCAATCAGATCTCAATAACACACCGCAGTGATGTCTGGGCCCAGGGGAGGCGCTCCTCACGCGCCAGGACAGCAGCATCATAACGGGCGTCCTTTATGGAACGACGGAGCGAGTGGCGGGCCTAGCAACACGCCATCGCCTGCCGCTGGTTCCAATTTTGCTCACCAACATCATCCGAATCTGGCACCTTCATATGCGCAGCCACCCAATCGCCCCTACAATGGCTCTCCCCAGTCCCAGCCAGGTCACCTTTCGCCACGAAGCTATGCGGCTCGCCAATTTCAGCAACAGCAGCCACAAGCACTGCAGCATCACCCGCGGCCCCAGCCTCACATGCAAGGGCCTTTGAATGCCGCTCAAGCCCAAGGCTGGGCGGCCTTGGCGCCTCAGGGCCAGCCCTTGACGCCGGGCGGTAGTTATCAGCACGCGGTGAATAATGTCTACTTTCCCGTCGCCGGTCCGCCTCCCATTCCGCAGCAGGACGGAGCCCCGCCTCACGCTGCACGCGGACCACCACAGCAGCACCACGTGCCTGGGAACATCGCTCCCCGTCCACACAGTGGTGGGCAGCCCTACCCTGCCGGCAACCATCAGCAAGCGCCTTTCGCAGGGGTCGCGCATCCTCATGCAGCTTGGCAAGGAGGTCAGCTGCCCTCTGTATTGCGACCACATGTACCAGCACCTCCCCAGCCAGCATACGGCTCGTCTGGCGCTCCTGGTGATCCCTTGGATGGGGACCTTGACGATGATGGGGATGGTGCAGATGACGAGCAAGGAAAGAATGCGGTGCAGAAAGGAGCGTCAGACTTTGTCAAGAAGCTCTATCGTATGCTCACCGACAATTCTTACGCGACAATCGTCTCATGGTCGCCTGCTGGTGACAGCTTCTTGGTCAAGAACATGAGCGATTTCACAAAGCACGTTCTGCCTCGTCACTTCCGCCACTCGAACTTTGCGAGCTTCGTCAGGCAGCTCAACAAGTACGACTTTCACAAAGTAAAGAATCCAGGGGAGCATGGACAGGGCGTGGATCAAGTGTGGGGTTTCAAGCATCCTGACTTCCAGCGAGGACGCGAGGACCTGCTGGAGAATGTGAAGCGCAAATTGCCTTCTGGTAAGAAGGCTGCCAGGGACAACAGCCCTTCTATGCCAGGTGCTGCAGATGCCGCAGACAAGGGAGCCGAAGATTACGGCCAACTGAAAGACCAGGTCGCTGCCTTGACAGCTACGCAAGATCAAATGACCTCGCACATGAATAATTTGACGAAGCAGTACCAAGGGGTTATTGGAGAGATGCTGACCTTCCAGCGCAACATGCTCCAGCAAGATCAATTGATGCAGCAGCTGATTCAGTATCTCATGCAAGAGTCATCGCGCCGAGCTGCTATCGAGGAGCAGTCCGCGACACCAAGTAGCTCTAGCAACGGTAATCCGGGTGTGCCTTTGCTCGAAGGCGCACCGACAAGCAGCGCATTCATGGCTCCACATGAGGCTCAAGATCTGATCTCTTCCTACACCACTCTGGCGCGGGATTCATTTGCGGCCATGAACCAAGTGTCTGCACGCATTCATGCCCAGCAACGTCAAAATTCAGATGACCAGTCCAATGGAGGACGTCAGCTTAGTCACGCCACTCTCGCCTCGTTGATCAGCGGAGACGACAACAATATTCACAATGGATCAGGAAATGGCGCCCTGTCACCCAAGAGTAGCGTCGCAAGATCTCCGGCGGCCACGACTGACTTTGTCGACAAGGGCAAAGCATCCCAGACGACTGGTCAAGCGAGCGAGAAACGCCCCCCGGTCTTTCTCCATCCTCCACACTTTGATGCTAACGAGGCAGGTGGCTCTAATGCCAATGACTTGTTCAATGCAGTTTCAGCGGCGGTTGGACAGCCTCCTAACTACGTAGGAGCAGACGGCGGAGGACTCAGGGTGTTTACAGTCGGTACTTTGCAGCCGCGCGCTGAGTCGGGCACCTTCCCCAGCGATGGCTCCGGGTCTCCTGGTGCTGCGCTCTTGTCGGGACTGAAGCGCTCGTCGCCGGGCGAGCCGCAGTCTGAGAGACGAAGCGGGTCTGCGGGAGCAGAGGGCACTTCATCTTTCGGCATCAGCGTGCCCGAACTCGAGCAGCTACCATTGAGCATGCCGCGCGTCGATCGTCGAGCTTCCACCGTCCCTACTCCTCTTGGTGCAGGTGCGACCTCGGGAGATAATGCAGAGGCTGGACGCGCCTCTGTGGACAGTAGAGGCGAAACACCCTCGGAAGGCGGAAGCAACATGCTGCGCGTGCGTAGATCTACCTACATCCCTGGCTGGTCGGTGCCTCCTAAAGTGCTCGTTGTGGACGACAATGAGGTGTGCCGAAAGATGTCGTCCAAATTCCTGCAAGTCTTTGGTTGCGCCATTGACGTTGCTGTGGACGGTGTGAACGCGGTCAACAAGATGAATTTGGAGAAGTACGATCTCGTGTGAGTAGAGCATTTCTTGCTCACCCAGCCAATCATGCATGCTCACACCGCTTGCTCTGGCCTTTATTGCTTCCACCGTAGTCTCATGGACGTGGTCATGCCAAATCTGGATGGTGTATCTGCGACGTCGCTTATCCGTCAATTCGACCCACGAACACCGATTATCTCGATGACGAGCAATGTAGCTCCCGAGCACTTGCTTGACTATATGAAGAGTGGCATGGATGACGTCCTGGCGAAGCCCTTTTCCAAGCAAAATTTGCTCAGTATGCTGGAGGTGAGTTGACATACATCAAAGAGGCTTCACGTTGAGGGGACGATCATGCTTAAACCATTTCTGCGCTCCGTTAGAAACATCTCATTCACCTCAAGACTGTGCAAAAGATGGAAGAAATACCTCATTCTCTCGGTCTGCCTCGCATGCCCGATGACGCGCTCGCTACGGTGCTTTCGGCAACCGCTGCTAGTGCGGCTCACTTTGGCGGAGCCGTCGACTCCGCTTCCTCGTCTATGCCTTCGCCGTGGGCTGCTATCATGGGTCATGGACCTAATGCTGTCAGTCGTTTCCAGAATGCCGACACACCTCCCGAAGAAAAGGGCAGCGATGATGAAGAGAGCACAGACAATCCTCTTGCGGGCATGGGATTCTCGGACGAAGAGTAAGTCGACTGTGACTTTGAGCGTGCTGGCTCGTGCTACACTCGATGCTAAGCATCTGTTCTCTCATTACCAGGTACATCTCTATGCTGCAGAACCTCGTTGCTGCAGGAGCCGTGTCGGACGACACGAACGGCGAGAGCGCAGACACGATTGCCAATGCGCTTGGCGTGATCAGGGGCGAGGGTGTAGGAGCAGTATCCAGGTCGAAAGAGAGCACACCTACCGTGCTCGGAACTCGCAAACGCTCCCAAGACGCCGAAGGCAGCGAGGCGAAGCGTAGCCGCCCTGCGGGTGTCCCTGCTTGAGGTCCGACTGCAGGAAAGCCAGTGCTCGTTACGCTTTGCACCTGCACAACGGCGCCCTGCGCGAGACCCATCTCTCTCTTACGTCATGTGTACTTGAGCGCGCACCGTGTCATGAATGGATCGCATACGATATCTTCTCCATGTCCTTAAAAGATGGGAGCATTTCGTGTCTTGCTCACGTGAATACACGTGCCACTCGACCGCCAGCGACCCTCGCATCTCATCTTCGAAATCACGATTCGCGATCGTAAGTCACAAATGTGATCCATATCACGAGTGTTGCTGAACCAGCAGCGCTATGTAGGTTCTCGTGTTGAAGGTGGGAATGACTCTGACTTGCAAAGCTCTTCGGGAATGTGTTGATCGAAGCGCTCGATGCGGCTTGATCGCTTGCCGAGCGCAATCACATCATTCACGATTGTCAGTAGCAGCCGTCGTGCGCGTGTGATCGGTCGAGCGCTCCTCGCCGATTCTTCGATCTCGCGATCGCAGGCTTTTTGACTCGCCAAACGCGATGACGTTCACGTGTTGCTCTGCGCGCATGTCTTTGGGCGGCGCCAGACGCGCAAATTCGCGCGCGACGCGACGCGCCTAATTCATAATTTGAATCGCCATCAAAGCAACAGCGAATTAAAGCCTATTGATGCTGGGATGATGCTGCAGCTGCGTGCTGCAGCTGCTGCTCCCAATGTCCCATCATGAGATGAGCAGAGGCAGGAACGAAATCTCAGACAAGGGTCACGAGTCACGAGTGTTACAGCAACGATCCATCGAGCCTTTGCATCACTCAATTGCGACCTTCTTTCATGACTTCTGTCCTGGCTCACGCGACCAAGCACAATCAATACCTGTTGGACTCGACATCGCTACAATAGCCTCTATTCAGCCCCTCCTTCAGTCGCAACAGAGCGGACAGGTTGAGGAGAGAGTCTTTCGGTCATCCAAGCATCACCACACGTAACAACCTCCTAGCCGGCAGCAACTTTCTACCGGCATCCCCTTCGTCCTTCCTGCTGTCGGCATCTGCGGTCCCTGCACCTCGCACCCAGGATGAGCTCATTGAACCGTAGCGCACGAGCGCATAGGAGCACCAAAGTGCCCAACGCCATTCTCAGACCTGCCCCTCCAAATGTCGGGGCGAGTGGAAGCTCAAAGAGTGCGCGGGCATTCAGATCCGAGGCTGATAATGCCGAGGCGGATGCTCATTTCAGAGCCCTGAGACAGGCAGCTGATCAGAGGGCAGAGCAGATGGACGAAGACTCGAATTGGAATGAGAAACCCTTGTTAGGAGCTGTGATTGGCTTTTCGGGACTTGGAGACCGAAAGGTGAGCACATAGCAAGCGAAGTGAACCAGCAAGTGGGACGGAAGGGATGACGATTTGCGCACGCACGTCATCGACCCCGGTCTTGTTGGCTGACACAGCATGACGACCTTGCCGACTTGATCGAGCAGAACCACTATCAACAGATGGCGAGGGATCTCGGTGCCGAAGCGCGGTCGGATATGCCGGAAAATACGCACTTTTTGCTGGCGGTCGAGCCGCTTAGCGAGAAGTGCACTAGGGCGGTGGATGCTGGGATCCGCATAGTGCAGCCCAGATGGCTGGAAGAGGTCAAGCGCCGATGGTGTCATGATGAGCCCGTCGATATTGATGGCGTGAGTCGAGTGGCTGGCTGCACGGCGCGATGGCCGATGACATCGAAGCGTTGGTGCTTACTCGTCACTCGTGTGGCCCGCTTGTTTTGCATCTCCAGTTGGCTACCGAATACGCGTTGGATACGTTCGCGACTCTCAACGTGGTGTTAGCAGGGTTTCACGATGGTGAGTCGTCTTCCTGAGCTCGAGCTTGCAACGAAGCACCCTGCTCACTCTGTACCGGGTCCATCTACAGCGGAGGAGCGCAGAGATATCCGAACACGGATGATCGGAGCGGGAGCAGAGTGTCCAAGAGATACGGATCTGGCAGCTGGCGGACACACTCACGTGCTTTGCAGCAGCACGGCCAAGTCCGAATCCATCACGCTAAAGAGCGTCCTCAAGTTCAAGGGCCGTGCGGAAAGGTATATTCGCAGGAGCGAGAAGATCCCTACTGGAGCACCAGATGCTGCGCAGATGCTCAACGCAATCGCGATGCACTGCGTCGTGCTGGAGTGGATGCAGGATTCGCTGGAAGTTGGAGGTGAGTCAGCTGCTCCCGCCTCGAGATCGTCGAGAGCTCGATGCATAGTGGACTGACCAATCACATGGTCTTCTGCAACAGGATGTCTGGATAGTACGAGGTATGAATTGAACAAATTTTCACTGCAACCAGCCGATCGCCGATCGTTCATAGATGCCACGCTCAGAAATCGCACACGAGTAGCTGAGGACTTCAAGGCGCGCCACGCTAGTGCTGTAGCTCGATCTGTTGCGCAAGACGTGTCAACGGAAGGTGACGAGCGCGTGTCCATCCAGCGGGCGACACAACAGGCAAACAATCCCAACATTCTGCGCAAGATTATCGCCCAAGCTAGCGACGATGGCCCCGAAGGTCTTGCTCAGCCGGACAAAGCCCCTCTGGGAGGATCCCGTGAACATGCATTTGGAGATCACGGCGAGCAATCCAAAGAGAAGGGGGCTCAAGCAGCCCAAGGGACGAAGCACATTCAGACAGAGATCAAGTCGTCACAGAAGGGGCCGAAGGCAGCACACTCGCCGCAACAGCAGGGCGAGCCCGCCTCATTCAGCACTAAAGGAGTCTTCGCAGGATTAGCATTCACGCTGGATCTCGTCGAATCCAAGTTCCAAACGCGTGTGGCGGAGCAGATTGTGCGATACGGAGGCCGAGTGCTACCCGATGCGCAGGCGCATCACGCCCAGTACTGCGTGGTCGAGTGTTGTTCCAGTCCCGAATGCCCTACATCATCCTCGCCCAATGCACTGCAGGTGACAATTTGGTGGATCGAGCGTTGCATCCACCTCAACAACCTGGAGCCGATCGATTCAACGCCTTTCGCAAGACCGAGCACTCCGTTCATACCGCAAGCCGTTCTCAAGGGCTTGCGCATCTCCATCACTCAAGCCGGACACAGCGTGGACGACTCGCAGAGCTCGCGTGTACTGCAAGTTCTTGGTGTAATACCCAGTTCTAGCTTTGGGAGAGGCAGGTACACTCATCTATACTGCGGAAGCGATGAGGGTGGACCAGAGGTCTCACGCAGCGAGAAGGTCAAAGCAGCGCGGGAATGGGGTGTCCCAATCGTCGGCGCGGCATTCGTTCGTAGACTTTACGAGGAAGGCATCGTCGACCCACCAGGTGCACCTTTGTCGTCGTGTGGCGGGCAGCAAAATAGCCAAGTGCTCCCCGACTCGCTGGCAACAACGGTGCGAAGAACTGACAGCGAGTGCTCGAACAAGGCCTCGCAGATGACGCAATCGATGGCGATGGTCCAGATGAATCGGCCAAAACAAGTCGCACAAAAGAAGGCGCCTCAGATAGAGGCAGATGTGAGCGCGTCAGCGACGCACCCTGTAACCGCCACTCAGATCGCTTGGGAATCGGTAAATCAGTCCATGGTCGGGCAGCTTGCTGCAGACGAGCTGGCTGGACTGCTCAATGGGACGAGAAGCACCACGACGGAAAAGGTCAAGCGACCCACCTCGGCGGACCTCCTGTCTAGAAGCAAGTCGCGCAAAGGGCCACCTTCCCGCTCTGGCAGCAAGCGAGCCACGTCGATCGGTTCTGGCACAGGAAGAGATGGATCGACGAGTCCTGAAAAGGGAGGCAGAGACGATTCTGTAGACTCTGGAAGCGTTTCGCCATCGAAGTCCCAGACTGCGGAAGGCCGAGCAGAAGAGTTGGTGCAACGCTTTGCGCAGCACGAGCCTGGCAATTCGGATGAGAGCAAGATGCAGGCTACTCGGATCTGCTGGGAAGATCCGAATGCTAAAAGAGGCATGTTGCAACTACAACAAATGATGGCCGCTTCGATACCTAGCATAGCACCCACTCGCTCGCCCTGCAAAGACGAACCTTTCGCGGACCACGCCTCACCAAGGAAGACGACGAACGGCGGCAAGAGAAGCACAACGTCGGCAAACGCTGCTGCGCAATCTTTCGAAAACGCTAGCGCCAAACGTGCTCGACTGTCGCACACAGCTGCCAAGGCGGCCGTTGTGGGAGCGAAAAACTTGTCCCCCTCCAAGAATGCATACGAGCTCGACGATCAGGGCTTGACTTCTCCTAGCAGACAGGTTCTGGCGCGCAAGCAACCAAACTCGAGAGCGTAGAGCGGCATGACTGGATGCTCGCTCAAAGTCCAAGTTTAAGTTCAACACCAAGACCCGAATCAGATCTTCCGTGGGTATGCGAACAGGGCCCCCTCGCGCTGCAACGCCTCGCAATATCATAACTTGTACACCTCTCTGAACGCGCCTCTCAGTGGTTTAGCTCGCCGGGTGTAGACGACCGACCACGATGGACGTATTATTGCGGGGTTCACGACGAGGGTCAGCGCTCAGACCTAGAGCGCAGCAAAATTTGTGAATGCCTCATGTTGATTTTGAGCGCATGGGATCGACCTGAGCTGGCGAAAGTGAATCGCTGTAGGGTTCAGTAACACGCAGGTGACGGTGATAGGGTTGAATGGCGTGGATATTGAAACGAATTAAATGAAACGCGGGCCTTGACCGTGGCGCCAAGGTGCACTGATTCTTGATCGTGATCGTGATGAAAGGATCGGCAGAAGAAAGAAATTTGAATGAGCTGAAGAGCTAGGTCCATGGTAGATCACGTGAAGCGTCCTGCGGGCGTCAGAACTCGATCAGTCAAAACGCTGTCTTGCGGGTGCAAACGGTGGGAATGGGGACGCCGCGCGGGCGGGCTGCTGGAACATACAGTACGCATGCGTGGGCCAATCCTCGCTGCTCGCCAAGCTGCAATCGTGAATTCTTGATTAACCATCAAGCCCCACGATTCAAGATTTGATTGAGTCGTGACTCGTGAGTACTTGACTGTATTGCGCGTTTACAGCTGCTGTCGCGCCTGTGATGCATGTCTCGACCGCATGTGTGTGCTGCCTGCATGCAGCATATCACGGACGCTCGCCTGAATTCATTCACGATTCACGATTGCCGCCCATGGAGCGCGGGTCACGAATCTGCGCGTCTAATATCACGAATGATTACAACAATCTTGAATTTTGAATTAGAATTGAGTCGTGAATGTCGTGTTTTGGGGCCGCCCATGCATCAGCAGTAGGCAGCATTTAAGAAAAGGTATGTATAGCTCCGCGGGCATGCAGGCGCACGCGCACGAACGCGCGCTCAGTCATCACGCGTTATATTTATTTATTCTGCCACCGCGCCTCTCGAACACCAAAGCGCTCGCGCGCGCGCGTGCGTGCCGCGTGCACCGGCCTCTGAAATTTGATCCGGATGGAGCGTGCACGCTCCATGCATGCGCTCGGTGCTGGCTGCACGATGCTCATGCTGTGTCGGCACCGCACCATTTCTCGTCTGCGCTTCACCCTGAGCTCTCTTCCTTCCACCTCTGCCCGTGTTCCATGATCCTCCTTGCCCTCCTTATATGCGACATTCTGACATTAGCAAGATCTCCACTGTGATCCAGAAGCGTGGGATAAGACTGGTTCAAAGGGCACTGAATGGCGCTCAGGCGTGCCAGTCGTGTCGACGCGTTACTGTCACCCATCGTGATCTGATCGCGGACCTTGACAGCGCATCGGCTGAGAAGAGGCGTCTG